TTGACTTTTAGTAATATTTTTTTCCAGGTTATCTTTCCCAAACATGGTCCTTCCAATAGTGGACCAATTACCACTGTATTTGATTCTCTTCTCTTCCATCTTTCCCAACGTGATATGGGGGGGGGGAGCGAGAGGAGAAATAAAACATAGGACAATCACTATCAGCAGGTGAGAAGGTTAAACTATTGATTTCCTCATAGTAATAGCAATTGCAGAGAGATTGGTTACCTTCCTAGATACTAAAAGCAACATCAGTCAGAAAAAGGGGAGCTTGCTTAATAGATCAGTTTTACATGTGTTACTATGGTCCTAAGGCTGCCTGTCAATGCAGGAAAATACAACAGGTATCTCCCAGTTGATTAGCTTTATGCTGTGGTTTTATTGTATCTTCTTTCTGTTAGCAGAGGTGGTACGGGTTAAATCTTGTCAGAGAAAAAGCTCTTCGATGGGGCACCCTCAAGATGTTCATTAAATAATTAGCTGGGATAAGTGGTTTTCCACCCAAACCATTCCCATGAGAAGTGATGAGAGTGCTCTGGTGAACACCAAGGCCAATATCAAAACCATACTGTCTCAGTTCTGCATTGCCTGCCTCAGGCCCTCAGAAAATTAGATAATAGACTGAAAGGTCAAATTTCTTGAGATTTAGCTTTGTGCCTTTTCCAGGCTGAGTGAAAATTGTCCATGAGGCTCAACCAGGCCAAATTTCCTCTGTAAAGACTAGTTTAATTTACAATCTAAGGGAGGGATTTGGCTTAACATCTATACTTAGCCATACAAATCTATTGGGTAATCTAGATCTAGTCACTGGCTGGTTCACAGATTGTGGTTTAGCTTACTGTAGATGTCGCTTAATATCTTTGCATGGGTTAACACCAACTAATTGTGATTTACCCAATAAACCTTGATTAAACCACAATGGCTTAACATAATAGTGCATAAGCTGAGCTGTAGTTTCTTGTAGTTATATTTATGTGAAACTTAATCGAATGTAATAATGGACCTGGTCTTCTATTTAGGAGTGTAGGTTCTGCTCCACCATTGAAAGAACCATACTTGGCCTAAAACATATTGTATATTTTTGGCTTAATGTAATGTGAAACACCACATCTTTTTCAAGGATTGCTGTAAGAATCAAGGGGGAAATGGGTGTATGCAGCTTGTATCCTACCTTGAGGTCCTTGAAATACAGAAATACAGGATGATTAAAAAAAAAAGTTATAGGCTCCATTGATATGAACTATTGTGAACAGTGGATAGAAAGCCTGTCAAATGCAATAAACTGGAATTTTTTTAAAGATAACGTTAAACATGATAAACATAAAAATGCTTAATTTTATACAAAGTGGTGATAATGAAATTCTTCTATGTTTAATGTATTAAATGAATTTTAATATTTAGTATTAGGAGTGTTCTTCATTCAAACTGATTCCAATGACAAATATTTTTCACTTTGACAGCATGATTTGAGATAGAATCCCATACAGCACATGAGAGGCAGTTTGGTATGTAGTGGCTAAGGCATCAGGCTAGAAACATGAGACTGAGTTCTAGTTCTGCCTTGGGCACAAAGCCAACTGGGTGATTTTGAGCCAGTCACTTTCTCTCAGCTCAAGGAAGAAAGCAATGGCAAACCGCTTCTGGCAAACCTATTCTACATGAATTGTCCAGGCAGTCTCCAAGAATTGGGCCGCTATTAAGCGGGGGAAAAAATAATACCGTAAATTCAACTGTAGTTGAATTTAAAATGTTTTTTTCTTTCTCTCTCTACTCATCACTCACATGATAGCAGAAAAATGCAAGCCAGATGTCACATAGAAGGTACTAATTGTCTTGATGTGATGTCTGTGGTTGAAAGTGATCTCCATACTAAACATGCAGCTTTCTGTCTTTCTTCTCCTAAGACTTCCCAGCAAATGTGAACTGGATTGCAATGATTATACTTGCAGTTTTCAAACAGTGTAAAGTTGGTCTGTGGTTTGTGCTGCCAAGCACTGAAGAAGGTGATTCATCTGGAATGATTGCCTAACTGTGTTCCTGTTTCTCAAGGCTGAACTTAAAGAAAGCAAGGAAGATATTCCCCTTGGCAATCTGAATCCAATGCCAGGAAAGATGGAGATGATTCAGATATTGTTGAGTCCTGGAATTGTATTTCCAGACCCAGAAAAATTGTTTTGACTTCAATCTTAAAATCTTAGTTCTGTCTGAGGTTCCCAAGTTGTCACTTCTCCCACCAATAGCATCAGCGATTGTGCTGTTTAAATTTCCTTTGCAGGTAACTGTGTTTATTCGCTTTCACTGTAAAACAGCGATTCTCAACCTGTGAGTCGCGACCCCATTTGGAGTCGAATGACCATTTCACGGGGGTCGCCAAACAACGCAGTCTGCCATTTTTTCCCCCTTTTCCTTAGCTATGCTACTCCCTTTTATTCTATTGGCTTTTGAAAGCCAATAGAATAGACTCTCTTGAATAGAGTCTAATTCTATTGGCTTTCAAAAGCCAATAGGAATTGTCCAGGCTGTCTCTGCCCTGCTGAGCCCGCCAAAAGTCCCATTCTGCAAACAGTGCTGTAAGTTGTCTGCAGCGAAGGCGAGCTGTCTGGAAGTTTCCACCCCTCCCTGCTGAGTAACTACTAAAAATGTAAGTAAAAGAGGGCCAGGGTGGGAGGTGGGAGGCCGGCAGGCGCAGGGACGGTTGCTGGTGCGCGTGGGGCCTGGTGGGTGCCTTACCTCCCTTGGGCTGGGCCAGTTGGTGGCCCAGCTGGTGGTCGCCCTGTGCCGTCGCTGCCCCTTGCCAGCTATGCCTCGGCCAGCACAGGGGGCGGCACCATGCATGTGCGGTGCTCCCAGGCAGGGAAAGTCCTCGATTTACAACCGGTTGGGTAGTCCTCGACTTACGACTGGTTGGGGGTCGCGGCATTAAAAAGGTTGAGAACCACTGCTGTAAAACAATTTTCTTGTTACTCTAATTCAATGTCTTCAATGGTTCCCAATGATTCTGGGTGCTGTTTATGACATGCAAAGCTCTTTCTGGTTGAATAGCTCAGTCCTGCCTCTTCTTGTAGGTCAGGATGATCAACCCATGGGCTGCAGCCTTCCCCTGCCTGCCCCATTTGTGCATCCCAAAATATGACAGCAAATCCTTTCAATATTGCAATCTCAGTTTTTTGAAGAGAAAGTGTCAAAATGCAGGCAGTAAGCCATCCCTATTTAGCCTTTAAGTTTTCCCCACAACCATATAAAAGCAGGTTGAAAAGATAATCCCTACCCACTCTGATGATGTCACTGACCATACACCCCACACATTTAAATAAATAAATAAAATAAAAATTTTTAAAAACACAGTAAAAGCCGATATCCCGCCTGCCATAACCTCTACTTTGAAATCTCCACAGGGTCTTTTTTTTCCAATTCCTTTCACAATCTGAGATGGAGAAGATGGCTAGAACATTAAGGACAAGAAAATGCAGGTTAGATGTGGCTGCTTGTATTGTAAATGTGTTCTTCATTGAAGCCTACTAGAATCATATTTGGGCAACACATGAGTGCTTAAATCCGTTAAACACCTAGAGCAAGGGTGTCAAACTGCCGGCCTGTGGGCCGGATGCGTCATGCTGAAACCAGGCCCACCCCAGCTCCGGCAATGAGAAAAAAGTTGCAATACGTTGTGGCACATCATGTGACGTGGCGAGTTTGACACCCCTGATCTAGAGGCTATATGTATGTTAAGTTTGAGGAGAGGTTGTGACATACAACCTGCTTGTTTATGATTCAGCATATTCTGCAGATTCAATAAATAGGTTAATTCAGAATATGAATTTTTGGGGAGGGGGGAGAGGCAGCTTTTGTGTTTTCTTAATGTCAGGAAAGTAGTACAGGTAGTCCTCAACTTAGGAGCACATTTGGTGCCAGAATTTCGGTGCTAAGCATGGTAGTTGTTAAGTGAGTCACACCAAATTTTATGGCTTTTTTGCCACAGTTGTTAATGATTGTAGTTATTGAGGGAATCATGCAGTTGTTAAACAAATCCAGCTCCCCCCATTGACTTTGTTTGTTGGAAGCTGGCTGGGAAAGTTGCAAATTATGATTGTAGGACCCCAGGTTGCTGTAGCCATCAAAAATATATGCCTGTTTTTCAAGTTCCTGACTTTTGACTACAGGAATGTGGACTGCTGTGACAGTTATAAGTACAGGCCGGTCATGAGTCACTTTTTTTAGTGTTGTAAATTTGAATGGTTGCTAAATAAATAGTTGTTAAGTCAAGGGCTACTATAGTAATCTCTCAGGTCCTTAGTACCGTAATTAGCATAGCCTCTTTTTAAGATGGTGGGTTTCCTCTACAAACAGACACTCATACCCAAGTCCTCTTGTGGCTTGATCACTACAACACGTTCTGTATGGGGCTGCCCTTGAAGTTTTAAACTGGTCCACAATGCAGTGGTGCAAACAGTGATGGGTATTGGTGTGCCCATAAATATTAGTCTTTTGTGACTGGGTGGCATTGTAGGGCAATCCTATTCACCTGAATGAGACAGCAACACACAAAAAGGCTAAAAATAGGTGCTGTTTAATGCTTTTGGGGGTGCTCAGTTTTGTAGCTGGTACTATTTTCTGGAAGGATTGTTGCCCTACTTGTCAGGGAGGAAGAGAGGCAAATATTTGAAACAGTGCCTCACACTACAGTAGTTACTGAGGTAAAATAGAACACTATAAGATTTTTCTGTAGCTAGTTAGAAAGTCTCTGGGCTCTGCAAGGCTCTTCTTCAAGCAGGAAAGAAAAGGCCGTTGCAGTCTGGAACTGTCCAAATGAAAACCAGCACACAATTCTTTTAACAAGCAATCATTTCTTCTCTCATTTGGGATCTCTCATGCCTGTACAGGATTTTGTGTAAATAAAGCAGCAATTCTGTGCCATCATCAGGTTGAAGGATGCTAAAGAAAGGAGGGGGGGGGGAGGGAAGGAAGAGAGGAAGTGAGAAAAAGTATGACAAGCAGAGGTGGTGAGCTTTTTGTGTGCTGGCCCTTTAAGAGATAGCCCTCCCAGCGCTGTTCCTGGGCGATGGCTTTTAAAAAGCCTGAGCGCTCTAGTCCTAATGCATTGTGTGATACATCAGCTACGGAAGGTGCAAGTGAGTGCTCAGGATACATGTGTGTGTGTTGTGTGTGTAACCAAATGGATTGGAGTGTGGATGGGGCTCTGCCTGACAGAGCTATGGGTTGCAAGGAGACTCTTGCGCTGTTGATTTTTGTCTTGGCTATAGAACTCCGATGGGCAAGGTGCAGAGCCCTGTGAGGTAGGTCACAGGGGACCACACTTCTGCATTAGAGTTCAGACAGCAGAAGCCCTTCCTGTGTGATTTAATTGGCACTTTAACTCATTTAGAATTGGGAAGGCATTTTCTTTCCACCCACATCAGCCAGCAGCCTTGGAAGTGGATGCCCTTTCAACATTTCATTTAGATGTCATACTCAAGACAGGAGTTTTCTCCCTCCTGATGACCAGCTGTCCTTGCTGGAAATGATGGGGGGGGGGAATTATAGTACAGCACGTGGAAGACCTCAGAGAGGGGTGAAATAAAGCTTGGGGTTTGGCCAGAGAGATCTGCAGTCATTTTCCCCAATGGTGAAGCCAACTAACTAGTCTTTTGGAAACGTTGATTCCTCAAGTTAGTTTGCTTCTTGGGATGGTTGTGAGAATAATATAAATTATCCCATATGCAATATCCTGAGCTCCATTGAAGGAAATGTGTGGATTTAAGGGTTTCATCCGTGTTATTTATTTATAATTCTGAGATCTGGTGGAGCTAATTTGTGAATTAACAGCTGGGTTGTATACCGTACTCCTCTTTTGGAACCTTTGGGGTAGTTGTCCTGCATAGGACTTGAACACAGCAATTCCTCAGATTTACTGTATTCTGAAGAGCTCTCCTGTTCTGTTGGGCCTTGGAGGTTTGGGTCTTGGAGGGTCTACTAGGGCAGGAGGTGTAGTTCACACAATGATCTTCTGCAGCTGCACAACCTTAGAAGCTGCAACTTTAATTAGATCTTCTTGATCCCAGATGGATCTTTTGTGTGGGGTTGGTGCTGGGCCGAGATGCAGAGGCCGTCGCGTGGTGGGCAGGTGGTGAAATGGGGTTCAAGGCCATCACTGACTCACCTGGGCTCAAGGTTTCAAGAAGGGAAAGGTGCTGGTGGTGGTCATTGCATGCTCCCAGTGATGACTGTGTGGGGTTAACAATGTGCTGTTTTGCAGGAACCATGAGCCGCAAAGTTGTGAGGTCCAGCAAGTTCCGTCATGTCTACGGACAACCGGTGAAGGCTGACCAATGCTATGATGACATTCGTGTTTCTCAGATGACATGGGATGGGAACTTTTGCTCTGTCAACCCACAATTCTTAGCCATCGTCGTGGAGGCTAGTGGTGGAGGAGCCTTCCTGGTCCTGCCATTGTCTAAGGTGCCCTCCCCCACCTTCGTAACACCCCCTCCCCTCACTTTGAGACCTCTTTCAAAGCTTTTTTGGTTTATCCCAGGTCTTCTTCCCAGCTGCGCTCAATCCAGTCTCTGGCCGAGAAATTCTATAGAAAACTACAAATCTAACTTCTGGCTTCTTACCCGTCCTCTGCTTTTTTTGTGGTTTTCTGGGGACTTGCACAGGGTGCAAGAAAGGGCCAGGGATTGGTGGAACTGCTGATTTCTTTTTACCTTAAATGGTTAGGACCTGTTACGGAAATAAAATGAAAAAAAAGAAAAAAATGAAGAAGAGGAAGTGGCTTTGGGGGCAGCAGGAGGAAAAAGAACCGACATCGGTTGGCAATAATTAAAGTTCTCCTCTGTGCTTTCTCCTGACGATTCTAGTTTCACACTAAACTCCATTGCTTCAGTAATTGAACCCAAAACGCAGCAGTCCTGATTCTCAGCCCTGTGGTCTAATCCATTCAAAAAATGGAAGCTTGTAAGTTGGTTCCTCAAGAGCTCCCCATGCTCTCTGACAAGCTGAGCTTTATATTTGGTAGCAGGGATTGGCTTCCTCTCCTGCTTTCTGTAATGTGTAACTTCTCTTTCTCACAGTCTGATTGTATGCTTTAAGCATCTCCTTGGGAGGCCACAATAGCTACGTGAAACTTCCTCCAAATTTGATGACTATCGTTGTTATGAATTACTCTAGCCGTTACATTTTCCCCCTTTCAAAATCAAAGTTTAGATGTAGATGAAGACAGTGGATTGCTTTTCCAGTCTTCCTTGGCAAGGATCTTATGCTTGCCCCTAGGATGTATCTCATGACTTCAGCATGACATGGAGAGGTTTCAGAGACGGCAAGCAATAAATAGTGTGGGAAAGGAGAGGAGGAGAATGTAGAAGACAGACAGCATGTAAACCAGGCTGGTAGCCATAAGATCTCCACTCTTTTCCCATTTGGATAAGTAGCAGTAGATTCAACCCACTGGCCTAATGTTTTTCCTGGATTCCAGATTGTGAATTCCAGCCTGATCAACTCTTGCTTCTTAGAGGCAATGGATGGGAAAATCACAGAAAAAGAGGGAATGGGGAATGGAAATCTTAAAATTCAAATTGTGGGAATTGCTGAAGGGATAGCAATTGGTTGCAAGATCCTCAAGTCTTGTTGCTCTAGGTCAGGGGTGTCAAACTGCTGGCCCGCGGGCCGGATGCATCATCTGGAAGCCGCGCCCACCCCATTGCCGACAATGGCAAAACCATCTCAATACGTTGCGAGATGTCACATGATGTTGCGAGTTTGACATGTCTACACTAGGTGCTTAAGGGTTTTGCCAACCATTTAAAAAAAGGGTAAAAGCAAACTTTTTTAAAAAAACAAACAAACCAAAACTTCCCCTCCCAGCAGTGAGGCCTGCCTGCTTCCAACTCTCTTAATAGAAAGTGATGTTAACAACATTTTCACAAGTGAAAAGTTGTGATTTGCTATGAAAATGATTCAGTGTCGTATAAACTAAATAGATAAAAATAGAGACAGCAGTAATGTCTATAGATCCAGCTACAGTTAAAGGCACAGAAGTGGTGCCTTGGTTAAAAAAAAAAAATTGGCCAACCCTATTGTTATTTTTCCTGAATGCAGAAAGATGTGGGATTCTGAGAAGGGGTTGGGCTAGATGGCACTGTGGAAAGAAGGATCTATAAAGACGTGCCTGCAAAAGAGCTAATTAAAGAAGGAAAGTGGGTGGGTGGGACAGAAATTAAGAAAGAATTGGAAGGATCTTGGCAGTTATAACTGGAAGTAAAGGAGGAGGATGCAAAAATCCAGATGCCTAGTAGCTATGGATGCTATAAGTTTGGTCTGGCAATTAGTTTGCTGCTTTTAACATTTTATGAGAATTTCTCTTCCTGTTAAGAAGTTGTTGGGCAGCAACATGGTTAGGCCTCTACCTTGTTCCCTACTTGCTAAGGATCTTCCTCTAGCCCAGGGGTAGGCAACCTTGGCTCTTTTATGACTCGTGGACTTCAGCTCCCAGAATTCCTGAGCCAGTCATGCTGAGGGGAAAGGGAGAGTTTCCAAGCTGAGCCATGCTGGCCCAGGAATTCTGGGAATTGAAGTCCACGAGTCATAAAAGAGCCAAGGTTGCCTGCCCCTGCCCCCTGGGCCCCTTTGTTTCTCTCTCATTCACCCACCCTCTCCAAATGCAAGTGGGATATCTCAGTGCTGACCTTAGATAAAGCTAAGGTAAAGATTTCCCTCCAGTGGTGATTCTTGGGAGATGGTGCTCATCTCTGTTTCCTAGCTGAGGGAGTCACCATTTTCCAAAGATGCTTCCATGGTTGTGTGGCTGGCATTATATGTCGAGGCTCATGGAATGCTGTTACCTTCCCACTGGTGGTACCTGTTTATCTACTTGCACTTGCATGCTTTCGAACTGCTAGCTTGGCAAGAGCAGGGGCAAGTAATGGGGGCTCACCCTGTCATGTGGTGCTTGGGTCCCAAACCGCCAACCTTCCAGTCAACAAGTCCAGAGTCTTAACCACTAGACCACCACGTACCTTTGCTGACCTTAGCACCCTCTAATTCTGAAGTTAGATCTACTTCAGAATGATTGATCTGATTAATGCTTCTCTGTGTTTTATTTTATAAACCAGAGTTTGGTGTGTGTAGTGTGAAGCTACCCTTTTTATCTCTCATCTGTTGATAAAGGCAATGGAGATTAAGGAGATTGAGGCAGGATGACGCTGGTCAACTTGTACTTGCGATAGGCCTTTGAAGGCATTCTTTCAGTTCTGGATGTTTGTCAAAAGAAGGTTGGGGGAAATGAATGTGGTCAGTTTGTTGCTTGCTCTCCTTGATTACCTATGCTGATATAATGAGCCCAGGAATAATTGGGTCTGCTGGTTCTCATCATATGGCTTCCCATGGGCCATGTTCCTGAAGCAGAATGTCAATTTCATGGAATACAGAAAAACGGAGCACAAACACTGGAAAGTAAGAGTTGCCACTTGAAATAAATCTCTGATGCATAAGAACAACCTTCATTTTCTCCCTCTCCTCTTATTTTTGCAGACTGGTCGCCTGGATAAGGCCCACCCTGTGGTCTCAGGGCACACAGCTCCTGTGTTAGACGTAGAGTGGTGCCCCCACAATGACCATGTTATTGCCAGCTCATCTGAGGACTGCAGTGTTATGGTGAGTGGTCAAAGGAGAGGGAAGGGAGTGGCTTCAGGGCACCAGTGAGCAGTTTGCCTGGACACTACAAAACCAGAGGCATTTGATGTTCTTGAGGACATCACTAGTCACAACCTTGCCTTGTTGCTTACAAGAACATTTTTTTGTGCACAGATTTTTTAAAAGTAGCAGTAGGCTACTAGGGATTGGGACTAAACTCTTGTCATCCTGTGCCACCACCTTTTTGACTTGGGCTTATTAGAGTTGTGCTCCAATGCATTTGGAGAACATTGAGTTTGTTAGCCCTCATCCAACCTGCTGTCTTAATTTCTTTCAGTCGTAGCTCCCCATAATAAACCCATCCCCTCTGAGGCTTACAACTGTTAGATAACAATTCTTGCTGGAATTGTTTTCCCTCAGAAAAATCAGGAGTGAGCAGAAAAAGGGAAGTGACAAGCTGAATATCCCATTCTGGGAGATAGAGGAGTCCAAGCGGGCAAAGAACAGGGAATTGTGGGAAAAACGAATGTCTTATAGATGAGGGCACTTAAAGAAGTGTCAAATGAAGGAAAACGTAATCCGAATGGGGAATTTGGATGGCAGACAACCAAGGTTATCTAAGGATCTTTTACCATCTCCAAGCAATATGTCTCACAGTTTGCCTCCTGTGCTCCAGAATGACTTACATGCAATCTGTTCTCTGCAACAATGCAAGGCACTGAACTAGATCATCTCCAAAATATTAAAGATAGTCCCACTCTCATTTAGGTCACTTTTAGAATTTGACCAACCAGGCAGGCAAAGTAGGGGGCGCCTTTTCTTTCCAGTTCTCTGACAATCTTCTTTACTTCTTGTCTTGCATGTTTTTAGGTCTGGTCGGTGCCTGAAGAGGGTCTTACAAGATCTTTGAATGAACCCCTGGTGACTCTTGAAGGCCACTCTAAAAGGGTGGGGATTGTGACCTGGCACCCAACAGCCCAGAATCTCCTGCTGAGTGCAGGTAAGGAAAATCAGGCCCAAACATGGGCCCACGCCAGGGGTAGGCAACCTTGGCTCTTTTATGGCTCAGGAATTCTGGGAGTTGAAGTCCACGAGTCATAAAAGAGCCCAGGTTGCGTACCCCTGGCCCAGGGCAACAACTGCCACCTGCCACCTTCCTATTCGTGAGTCTTGTCTTCTTCCCATCTGCTACAGGCTGCGACAATGTCATAAAAGTCTGGGAGGTGAGTGTTGGTCAAGCGGCCATTTCCTTGGATGAGTTGCATCCAGATGTCATCTATAGCGCAGCTTGGAACCAGGACGGCTCTTTGCTCTGCACAGCCTGCCGGGATAAGCACGTGCGGCTTTTCGACCCTCGGGCCGGGGGCACCACTGCAAATGTAGGAAAAACTTCCACACTTTGAAAAGTCTAAAACTGGCAGGTCCAGAAGGGGTTGATTTTTGATCAGGATACAAATTAGATCAATAATTGCCTGAGATAGCAGATCTGTCTGGTCCCCAAAATGGAGTCCCTGCTGTTCTTCTAATGCTGTTTACTTTCGCCTGTGTTGGCTAATAGATATTGAAGACCAGCATTGGGGAGAGCCAAGTTTCCAGCCAGCCATGAACTAATTCAGTGATTTATGTTTTAAAGTATATAGCCACAAGGTTGCAGAAATATTGCCATCACTTATTCCTTGATTTTTGTACCTGTAAATTCAAAACATGCTTCTGTTGAATCTGGAGACTTCCTGGTTAGCATTTATCCCCAGTGTGATCTCAGTCGTTTGGTGTTTTTCATTTAACCAAAGAATTCATGAGAAAAATCTCAGAACATCTGTAGAGAAAAAGAGAGAGGTAGCCTCATAACAAGCTAGGGAGGATAGAATAGGCTGAATCATCACAGAATGCTAATTGACTGATGCAAAATCTGAAAACTTGATGGGATAGAGATTGACTTTGGAATGGTTTATGTGAAAGCCTTAATAGAAGCAGTCTGCAGAGATAGACCCTGACTTAACGACATTTGCAAATTGCATTTGCTAAGCAGTGCTGCCATTAAGCAAGTCATCATATGACTGGATCCATTTTTTTTCTACTATTTTTATCATGATTGTTAAGCCAGCCATGTGGTCTTTAAGTGAATCCTGATTCCCCAGTTGACTTTACTTTCCAAAAGCTGACTGGGAAGACTGCAAATTGCAATCATATGACGGCAAGACACTGAAACCATTGTAAATGCAAGCTGGTTGCAAAGTCTTAAATTGCAATCATATGATCGCCTAGGATGGAGTGCAATGCAATTTCAAATTGTCATTAAGTTGTTGAGAGCAACCTGTACCACAATAGGTTGTTGTATTTTCCTACAGGCCTTGGTAAATTATCCCTAATGAAAATACAGGCAGTCCTCGACTTATGACCACAACTGAGCCCAACATTTCTGTTGCTAAGCAAGACAGTTGTTAAGTGAGTTTTGCTCCATTTCCTTGCCACAGTTGTTACGTGAATCACTACAGTTGTTAAGTGAACCTGGCTTCTCCATTGACTTTGCTTATCAGAAGGTCAAAAAAAGACAATCACATGACCTCCAGGACACCGCGACCATCATAAATGTGAACCAGTAGCCAAGTATCCAAATTTTGATCACGTGACCATAGGAATGCCACACAGTTGTAAATGTGAAAAACAGTCATTGTTTTCAGTGCCGTTGTAACATTGAACGGTCACTAACAGAATGGTTGTAAGCAGTGGTGGGATTCAGCCAGTTCGCACCAGTTTGGCAGAACCGGTAGCTAATTTTTTGTTGCCCAGGCCCAGAATGGACTTCCAGAGCGGCATCCACAAAGAGAACCGGTTGTTCACATATTTGAATCCCATCACTGGTTGTAAGTTGAGGATTACCTGTATTTCTTGTTACTTTAATGCCTGCTTTTAAAGGCCACCAGTGGCCATCCTCACGTCTTCCAGAATGATTTATCATGGAGAAATGTTTCCTTTTGCTCAGACAATATTCCCCTCCCCCCTCAATATTAATTTGGGCAAATGAGATATTTTGTGCTGGGATAGAAGGCTGGAAGATGACCCAACAAAATGGGATGACTTCTCACTGTCAAGAAGTGGGTGAGATTTGGTTATTCAGATGTGATTTAACTTTTCTTCTGCTCAAGAAAGTCTCATTTGTCTCACTGTCTCACTCTCAGGAATTGCCACGGGCCCATGAAGGCTCTCGTCCAGTTCGGGCCACGACTGTGAAGGATGGAAAACTTTTTACGACAGGGTTCAGTCGCATGAGTGAGCGACAGGTGGCCCTGTGGGACCTGGTGAGCAGAGAGAGTGGGGGACACCTTTATAGGTGGCATTTGGGTAACGTCTTCCAAAGATCTGAGCAGTAGAGGCTGCATGGGTGTTCAAGAGATTTGAAAAGTGGGCAGCCCCTACTGTTCAAATAAGGGCAGTGTGGAAAAATGAAGGCATGGATATTGCCAAAGCCTTGTGTTGAAGAGATTGCTGGAAAGCAAATTTAAACATCAAAATCCTCTCCCTTATGTATATTGTAATTTTTTTACGACAAACAATTTCTTAAAAGTATACAAAGTAAGACACAAGGACATTGCAAGAGGAAATTCACACTGGTGTTGCAGGGGCCTTCTGTAGTTTGTATAGGATTTTGAATGCTTAACACACTTCATTTACTATCAAAGTCTTTTACAACAACCCTGTAAAGCAGATCAGTTATGACACCCTGTTATTGATGGAAGGACAGGCTGAAATTCTGTCCAGAGAGCAAGAGTTTCTTGCTCTGAAATCTGGATAATTGTTCTTGTTTTTGGAGGGGGTGTCTACCTTCAAGTCAGTGTTGATTCCTGGTGATTGCCTAGAACAGGTGTAGGCAACCTTGGCTCTTTTATGACTCATGGACTTCAGTTCCCAGAATTCCTGAGCCAGCCATGCTGAGGGGAAAGAGAGAGGTTTTCATGCTGAGCCATGCTGGCTCAGGAATTCTGGGAGTTGAAGTCCATGAGTCATAAAAGAGCCAAGGTTGCCTGCCCCTGGCCTAGACAAACCCCTCAGTTTCCTTGGCAAGATTTTTTCAAAGTAGTTTGCTCTTGCCTTTTTCCTAGGGCTGAGAGTGAATGACTGACTCGTCAACCCACTGGCTTAATGCCCAAGGCAGGACTAGAACTCATGGCCTCTCAGTTTCTAGCTTGACGCTTTAAAACTACACACCAGCTCTTTGCATTGTTCTTAGACCACAGAAACCCATGAGTATGTTTTGTAAGAAGTGTATGCTTTTTCTGCAAGTAGAACTATGGCTAAACTGGAAGCGTCTGTGAGGAACTGGGGAAGGAGTACAGTTTGGATGAGAAAAGGCAACATAGCCAGGATATAGGAAGCAAGCAAGCAAACATTTCGAAGGGATTTTGTCTTAATTAACAGTGTAACTCTGGCTAGGAATTTACTCTTAGTTTTTAAGTTTTATCCCAGACTAACACTACAAATGTCTTTCTGAAACCCTTCCTCTTCTCTCTCTCTCTCCTTTTCTTTTCCTTTCTCCTTTCCTTTTCTTTCTTTCCTTCCTTTTTCTTTGTCTTTCTTTCTCTTTTTCTTTTCCTTCCTTCTTTCCTTCCTTTCTTTCTTTTCTTTCTTTTTTCTTTCTTTTCCTTCCTTCCTTCCCCCTCTCCTCTCCTCTCCCCCTCCCTCCCTCCCTCCCTCCCTCTATAGAGGAATCCTGAGGAACCATTGACTCTTCAGGAGTTGGATACAAGCAGTGGTGTACTCTTGCCTTACTATGACCCAGATACCAACGTGGTTTACCTGACTGGCAAGGTGAGTCCTGGGTGGAGGGAAGAGACTGGCAATGCCAAATCTAGAAGCAGCCTTTTGGATGAGCTAACTTGGGGGTTCAAGTGAGAAGTCCTTTAATAAGGAGAAATTCAAAAACCTCAACATCCACTGCAGGGTGACAGCAGCATCCGGTACTTCGAGCTGACCGGCGAAGCTCCCTACGTGCACTATTTATCCATGTTTACTTCCAAGGAGTCGCAGCGAGGAGGTGGATGGATGCCCAAACGAGGGCTGGATGTGAGCAAGTGCGAGATTGCCAGGTAGAGAATGTGTGTTTTTCTCACCTGCTTCCTCCAGGAGGTTCACAGTGATGTAACTGGTCTCCCACCCTATTTCCCCCCCCCCAAACACTAGTAATCAAGTGAGGATGACAAATAGCAATGGTACAAAACTTCTGCAAGCTTTATCCCTGAATAGAAACCTAACAACTTTCTTGTATTCTGTTGCAATCCACCACTCAGATTCCTTTGGCCAAGCAAAAATAAAGCCTGGGACGTTTTTGTTTTAAGGAGACCCTTCCAAAGATTTTCTTTCTCCTTCCTTGAATCAGTTTTTATTCCTTCTAGATTTTACAAACTACATGAGAGGAAATGTGAGCCCATTGCTATGACGGTGCCCCGGAAGGTAAGCGTGGAACGACCATTTAGGATTGGTAGGAAAAAGCATTGGGAGAACAACTGAAAACAGTTCATATCAGGAAGGAAAGGGCTGAGACTAGAGCAGTGATTCTCAACCTTTCTAATGCCGCGACCCCATAATACAGTTCCCCATGTTGTGGTGACCCCCAACCACTTATACATCACCGGGTGCCAGGGGCGTGGCCAAAGGGGAAAAAATGGCGGACAGCCTTGTTTGGCGACCCTCGTGAAATGGTCGTTAGACCCCAAATGGGGTCCCGACCCACAGGTTGAGAACCACTGGACTAGAGTCTCTCTGAGCCTAAGGGACCATCTCTCTAGGAAGCTGCGTAGGCACCATTCATCCATTTAGGTGGGCGTCATCTGCATCAGAGTTGTCAAGGCTGTGTTTCTTGTGGATAATTTCTGGGGGATTGCAGGCAGGCAGGGATATCCCAAAGGTGCTTTTTCAGGAGGCAACTGGACTTCTTTGAAGACATTTCGCTTCTTATCCAAGAAGTTTCTTCAGCTTGACTGGATGGTGGGGAATGGAAGGATTTATATTCCTTGCAGACAGCTGGTCATTTGCATTCTGTTGAGGCCACTTGGAGGTTTATCTGTGTCCTCAAGGTCACCTGAGTGATGCAAATGGGTGTGGCACCTCCCTGGAATTGCGGTCCTCTCTGTCCAAAATGTGGATGTTGTTGTCTTCAAAAGAGAGGACCCCTGGTTTGAAAGAGGGGTCAAAGAGGCCATCTGTGTCAAAACTGAACAGCTCTCTCTGAAGAGTGGAAGGAATATGACATCATCTATCTCCAGTCTACAACCCAGTCCTTTCTCGGCAGTTCCAGCAAACACAAGCCAGGAAACTTAATGAGAAGCAGCAAGGTTGTCAACTGGGAGTCAGAATCCTCTGATTTACTTGGAAGAGTGCAAAATAATGGGTTCACATGTCATGTCAAGTCATGGCTTTGTTAATGAGGGTTGGTTGAGCAAATGAGAATGGCTGGGTGCACACTTAAATGTGAAACTATCACGAAACAGAATTGCTAGTTCATACAATGTACTAAACCTCAACCCAGCAAACATAGAACATATTGTATATGTGTTTGCCTGGGGAGGCACTGCTAGGGCGCTGGAGCACTTGCATAGGCAGTCCTCTAAGAATGAGGTCTACACCACTGACACCGTTTCCCTGAAAGGAAGACCTGCTGCCATGGGCACTCTTTATTTTGAATTAGAGAAACTTCTCAGATGGACACGAGAGGTTCCTCCTCCCCCCACCTTTGTGGGGAGGTTAAGGTGGTGGAAGGCTGCTTTATCTTTCTCTTGGGCTGTGAAGTAAAAGCGGGGAGAGGGCTCTCCAACAAAAGGGGGTCATTCATCCTGCTCCCCTTTTTCTCCCCCACTCCCATCCCGGCCCACCAAAACCAAAACGGGGAGGGGAAGCTCCCGGTCGCTGGATATGGCTTTGTGTGAATCCAATCATGGTAAAAGGGAGCCTTGATTTAGGAAGCCTATGTATTCTCGATTTAGGAATTTTGTAGTCATAAATAGGTAGATGACCATTACATCAATTTTTCCCAAGCTGATATCCTCCAGAAATGTTGAATTTTTAAGTCCCATAACCTTCTAGGCCTAGGGTAGGCAACCTTGGCTCTTTTATGACTCGTGGACTTGGGAGTTGAAGTCCACGAGTCATAAAAGAACCAAGGTTGCCTACCTCTGTTCTAGGCAGCCTGTTAATTAGTGATAGTTGGTAAATGGGGGCTCTTGTTTCTGGGACAATATAGTGCTTGGGAGCCTCTCCTAGCATCTAATGTACCACTGGATCTTTTGGTTTGATCTAGTGTGCTTTTCCCATTTTTGATCCAGTCGTAAAGGCCAGAGAAGAAAATTCCCAGTGACATAAATCATTTTAAATAGCTTGTGGTTCTGTTAAATCTGTAGTCCTTACAGAAATATGGTAAATGCACTGATTCACTGAGAGAGCTCATCTATTCCAAAATTATCAGAGTCTTAGTTTAACTTTAACACATATAACTTTTATCCCTGAATAAAAGTTGCAAAGACATCTTCCCAATTTCTTGAGACAGTGGTAGCCATTTGCCCATCGAACAAGAAGCTTTCTCTTCTGTATCTTCAATCATTTGGGCAAATATTTAATTAGCTGTCAGGTTGGATTTGGCTCCTGGAGGCTATGCAGGTGGTCCTCAACTTCACCTTTTGCAACCTTCTGGCAAGCAAAATCAATGGGGGAGGCCAGATTCACTTAACAACCATGTAATTAACTTAACAACTGAAGTGATTCACTTAACATCTGTAACAAGAAAGGTTGTAAAATGGGCAAAATCTCACTTAACTCTTTTGCTTAGCAATGGAAATGTTGGGCTCCATTGTGGTCATAAGCTTTTTGTGGACAAAAAGCTTGCCTGAATAGAATATTAAGATTTGAGGTGTGCAGGCAACACTGCTTGTTCCATGACCATCAATGAGGAAGCTCCTGCCATAACGGGCTCTTCAATTATCCTTCACCTCCACAAACAAGGATAATTGAAGAGCCCGTTATGGCAGGAGCTTCCTCATTGATGGTCATGGAACAAGCGGTGTTGCCTGTACAGAATCTTGAGATAAAAGATCAAAGGATGACACGAGCTGTCCATAAACGTAAAGAAAAAGAGCAGCAGCAGAAGAGTGGCGATAAAGTAGAAGGAATGGTTATTACAGAGCCTGTGGGAGGGGCAAGACCTAAAAGATCTTCGACAGTTGATCTTCAGGCTATGCTTCAAAGGCTTCAGGCCGGTGTAGATGGCCAAGTTCCTGACCTGGAATGTTAATGGCTTAAATTCACCTCAGAAACGGAGAAAGGTCTTCTACTATTTGAAACAACATAATAATGACTTGATATGTTTGCAAGAGACTCATATAACTTCAAAGGACTCAAAATATTTGACAAATTCTCGTTTGGGATCACATTTTATAGCTCCAGCTCCAGGGAAAAAAGGGGGTGTTGTAATTTATGTGAAGAAAAATTTATCGGCTAAATTAATTGAGGCTGATCTTGAAGGAAGATATGTCTTTGTGGAACTACTGTTACAAGGCAAGAAAGTTCTTATTGTTGGATTATATGCTCCTAATCAACAACAGAAGCAATTTTATAAGCTTTTGCATGGGAAGATATCCCAGTTGGATTATAAATCCATAATTTTGATGGGTGACTGGAATGGAGTTTTGGATATAACTATAGATAAAAAGAGCTCTTCAAAAATTTTTACTCAAACTAAATTACCCAAAGCTTTTTTTGATTTGAAAGAAGAGTTGGAACTTATTGACATTTGGCGAGAAAGGAACACAAGTGATAGAGATTTTACCTTCTATTCGGATAGACATCAGTCATTTTCAAGGATTGACTTCTTTTTGATTACTAGTGATTTTCTTTCTAGGGTGAGAAAGGTAAAAATCTTTCCCAGGACCCTTTCAGACTATAGTCCTGTGTGGATGGAGCTATACTTGGAAGATGGGAACAGAAGGCCTTGGAGACTGAATGAGAATTTGTTTATCCGGGGAGAGTTTGTACAAAAATGTAAAGAGTATTTAAAGGAGTTTTTTGCTTTAAATATGAATAAGGGTACATCGATGCCCATGGTCTGGGACGCCAGTAAGGCGTATATGAGGGGAATTTTAATTCATTTAAATGAAGTTTCTAGGGATAAAAGGATACAAAGACGTAGAGAAATAGAAGATGAAATTAAAATAAAAGAAGAAGCGCTTGCTCTTAATCCAACTGATAATAACTTAAAGGTTTCTATAAAGATGCTTAGGGAACAATTTAATATGTTGATGGCAGATCAGGTGGCTACCAATTTGCGTTATATGAGACATAATACTTTTTGTAATGCTAATAAGCCTGGGAGGTGGTTAGCTTATCAGTTACGAAAGAAACAGAAGGCTAGGATTATAGAGAAAGTAAAATATAAAGGTACTGAAGTTTTTCAGCAAAATTTGATTAAAAAGAGTTTTTTAGATTTTTACACAAAACTATACTCAAGTGATAATATAAAGGGAATGGATATAGATAAATATTTACAATCAGTACATTTTCCTAAACTTTCTGAGGAACAGCAAAATGGGATGAATTGTTTAATTACTGTGGAGGAAATTGGCTTAGCTATCAAGCAGTTAAAGGTGGGAAAGTCTCCAGGAACAGATGGATTGACGTTGACGTATTATAAAAATTTATATGAAGAAATGTTGGAGCCATTAAAGGAGCTTTTTAATAGTATTTTGCTGGGAGCACAAGTTCCTCCTTCTTGGAAAAGAGCGTTTATATCACTGATTCTGAAGGAGGATCAAGATCTTACAGAGCCTAAGAATTATAGGTCGATATCATGTAGATTATGTAATGTAGATTATAAGATTTTTACAAAAAATTTGGCAAATAGATTAATGCAGGTTATGAAGGATTTGATTCACAGTGATCAATTAGGATTCATAACAGGGCGATACATGAAATATAATGTTAGACAAATTATTAACTTAATTGAGTATTTGGATAAGAACAATCAAGATTCCTGTGGCTTTTGTATTTTTGGATGCTGAAAAAGCCTTTGATCAATTAGATTGGCAATTCTTATTCTCACTGGTAGAGAAAATGAATTTTGGGGATAATTTTTTACATGCACTTAAAGCTATATATCAGCAACAATCTGCTCAAATTGTTGTTAATGGGGGATTGACTGAGACTTTTAATATTGAAAAAGGGACAAGACAAGGATGCCCATTATCTCCATTGTTATTTGTTTTGACATTGGAGATTTTGTTGATCCAGATTCGAGAATCAATGGTAATCAAGGGCATAAAGATAAGAAAAAATGAGTATAAGTTACGGGCTTTTGCGGATGATTTGGTTTTGATTTTGGAACAACCGATTAGAGTGGTTGATTGTCTGTTAGAACTTATAATACAGTATGGAAAAGTTTCTGGTTTTAAAGTCAATAACCATAAGACTAAGATATTATCTAAGAATATGTTAGCCAATGACAAGGAAAGTTTCGTTAAGGCCACAGGTTTTCAGATGGTGAAAAAGGTTAAATATCTGGGAGTATATTTAACTGCCTCAAATGGAAAATTGTATAAAATAATTATGAATTATTATGGGCAAAAGTGCAAAAGGATTTAAATGACTGGAAAAAACTGCAGTTGTCATTGTTGGGGAGAATTTCAGCTGTAAAAATGAATGTTCTACCAAAGTTTCTTTTCTTGTTTCAGATGATACCTATTTAAAAAAAAGATGTAAATTTGGAGGAATGGCAGAAGGGTATCAATAAATTCATTTGGGCTGGGAAAAAAACCAAGGGTTAAGTTTAAGATTTTGCAAGATGCCCGAGAAAGAGGAGGACTTAAAGCATCTAACTTGAAATTATACTATGATGCAGCCACCTTAACTTGGATAAGTGATTGGCTTAATTTAACAAATAAGGATATTCTTGTTCTTGAAGGGTGGGATTTAATGTATGGTTGGCATGCATATTTAATTTTTAATAAGAAAGTGGACCGGGCTTTCAAATCACATATTTTGAGGAGTGCCTTACTTCGAGTTTGGAAAAAGTATTATTATAGGTTAAACTATAAAATACCTATCTGGGGGATTCCTAGACATGCAATTGAGGGGATTTCTAAGGGGATGAATTTTGATAAAATTTCGTATAAAGAATTATTAACTTGGTCAGGTTTGGATTGGCATTTAAAATCTTTAGATGTATTAAGGCAAGAAAATATTCTACAATCATGGTTTCAATATTTACAAATAGTGGACAGGTGGACTATACATAAAAAAGAAGGAATAACACTAGAAGATGGAAATCTGGTTATTCAGATTAAAGACCAGAGTCAGGCCCATATAAAAAGAATTTACAATGCTTTAATAGAATTAGACTCTGAAACAGAATTGGTTAAAGACTGTATGATTAAATGGGCTCAAAATATCCAGGATCCAATCCCATTGGACTTATGGGAGACAATTTGGATTAGAAATGTTAGATTTACACAAGCTCAAAATTTGAGGGAAAATTTTTATAAAATGTTTTACAGATGGCATTTAGATCCTAAAAAATTATCTTGTACGTATCCAAATTTACAACCCAAATGTTGGAGATATGGTAATACGGATGCGACATATTTTCATGTTTGGTGGAATTGTAAAAAGGTAAAGGCTTTTTGGATTATGATTTGGTGGAACATTCAAAAGATTTTTAAAAGGAAGATGAAGTTCACCCCTCAATTATTCTTATTGAGTATCTTTGTGGATTTAAATGACAAAGAAACTACTTTAATGTTGAATTTATTAATTGCAACAAGGTTATTAGTAGGCTCGTATTGGAAGAAGGTCTCATTGCCTACTTTAGAAGAATAGATACTTAAAGTTTCTAACTTTGCAGAAATGGCAAAAATTTCTGCTTATTTGAAGGATCATACACAAGAAAGATATATTATTGTATGGAGAAGATGGATAGATTATATTCAGAAAAAATATGGGACTATAAAGTTTCATTTATTTTATGAGTAAATTTTATAGTAACTGTTGTAGAGATTTGTTTATATGACTTAATTTAAGGGGAGTTAAAGGTTAAGTATGATGTTTTTTTTCTCTTTTATTTTTTTTTTCTTTTTCATTATTGTTAACTTTCTTAATAATAACCCTGTATTCTGCTCTGGGAAGTGAGGGGGGGAGGGTTGAGGGTGGGTGGGTGGGTGAGGGGGTAATGATAATATAGACATGGTAAACGCTTGGGCATTTCCCCTATGCTGCGTTCATGTGTGTGAGAGGGATGAGAGGGGAGGAAGGAGTAGGGAGGAAGTAGGATGGTTAGAGGAGAAGGGGAGGGGAAGAGAGTAGGAGGGGAGGAGAGAAAGAGGAAGGAAGTGGGGAAGGATTAGAGAGGATGGACGCAGCCTGGGGCGAATGGGCAGGCGGTACCAATAGTTAGGAATTTAATTGTATTTTGTATGAATAAATGGAAAATAAAAACTTTTTTAATAAAAAAAATAAATAAGATTTGAGGTGTGTAGTGAGAGGCTGAATTTCTGTTTTTAAATCTGGATGGAAGAGGCTCTTCCTCATTGTAATACTGAGCCTCTGTTTTTGTATGGTTTCTGCAGTCAGACCTGTTCCAAGAGGACCTGTATCCTGACACAGCTGGTCCAGATCCCGCCTTGACTTCAGAGCAGTGGCTAGCAGGCAAGGACGCAAGCCCCATCCTCATTTCCCTCAAGGATGGCTATACTCCCCAGAAGAGCCGAGAGTTCAAAATCAACCAGACTCTCCTGCAGGGGCCCAAGAGAAGTCAACTTCCACACGAAGGGACACAGCAAAGGGTAAGAAAACCCAAAGGTCTAGATTAGGTCTTCTGGACTGTTTGGTTTAGGATGGGCCTAAACAATCCATTGACCTTCATGGTCCTCAACTTCTCTCGGAGGATCACCCAACATTCTATATGCATCTTTGTGGATGGTGGGGAGGGCTTGTCTTTAACCCTGTGAGAAATATCTGCCTTTTGTAGTCCTTCAAGGCTTTGGGGAGGTATACCTGATGACTTGACATTACTGGAAGAGATGAAGCCCAGCTGTTTAACCTTTGTCCCTTAAAGTCTTATAAATGGGAGAATTTGGCTTAATTTTAAGGATTTTGAAAAGATCCCTACTCTCCACTAAGGGTAGGGACATCGTGATGTTCTAGTCGTGCACCCTGCAATCAATTTTTTAAAAAGGACATTACGCCAGAAGGAAGATTTAGCATAGGGTTGGTGGGGAAATCTTAGACCAATGACAAATAAATGCTTTGAGTCAAAATTGTAAGTTACTTTAAAGGAGTGATAGCACAAACTTTTTTCTGAATAAAATCTGCTCTTCAGTTCTGTCAGTAAACACAATAATGTTAACTAAGTAATGTGTCATTTAGGGTCCAGCTTTAGATCAGTTCTCGGAGGATCTGAAACGACTGCAAGCTACTGTGTCGGAACAGGAGCGACGCATCTCAGAGCTGGAGAGGATTGTGAAGAAATAGTTTCTCTCTGTTTTCCTAGCCAGTCCGGTTCTTCATGAGTCACAATGGACTTTGTTTCACTGGCCTTTTAAAGCCCCTTTGATTTTTTTTAAATGGGTGGATCCTCAGGGCGTTATTAAGATTCATCCACCCTAAACTCAGGGCAGAAACTCAAGTTTATCTATTCCAGACAGAGCCCTTTTTCTGAGTTAACAGATTCCACCTTGAAAAGATACGAAATATACTTCTTTGCTTAGCCTCGGTGAAGGCATTCAGGATGATAGCCCATCTATTTACAACTCTGGAGGTTCGTTTCTCCCAGGCCTCCAGTTCTGGTCTCTGCTTTCTGGTTCCTGCTCTGCTTTTTCCCTTAGAAAACAAATTGTCTTCCTTTGGACTTTTTTTTTAAAAAATGCTGCATATCCCGTTTCTTAGATTTTGCTTTTAAGGGCATGGTTGTGTGTGTGGGGGGGTTCTTTTGTTTTAAAAGGGCTACAATATTTAACTGATCATCGATTAAGCATTTGGATTGATTGGTATGCATTTTAGTTATTTGGTCAGTAACTCAACCTGAGAATTGCAGGGAGTAAACCCGGTGGAAGGCAGATTCCCACCTTTGTGTGAGAGAGGAGGGGAAATCTGCTCAATAAAATATGCTTGTTTCTTTGGAACAGTTTTGCATCTACGTATTTCATTCAAACCCTTTCATTCATTCAAATTCTTGAAAGTTACATAGCAGACCTTTTTTTATTCAAGTTTTAAATAGTGGTTATTCTTGGGACCAATTTTTTGCCCCTGCTCTCCAAAACACAATCAAACGGCATTAAGTAACCACACAAGCCTAAAACCATCAGCAATAGTTTACTTCTACAGGTAATCCTTGCTAAATAAACCATTCATTTAGTGACCGTTCAAAGGTACAACAGCACTGAAAAAAAGTGACTTAGGACCACACCTTGCACTTACAACTGTTACAGCATCCCCACTATCTCAGAATCCAGGTGCTTGGCAATTAGCATGTATTTACAATGGTGGCATCATCCCAGGGTTACATGATCACCATTTTTCACCTTCCCAGCCAGCTTCTGATAAGCAAAGTCAACGGAGGAAGTTGGGTTCATTTAACAACCGTTATGATTCATTTAACAATTACAATGATTCGCTTAACAACGGCAAAAAGGTCATAAAATTGGCTGCAACTCACTTAAACAAACACCTCCTTGCTAAGCAGTGGAAATTCTGGTCCCACTTATACTAGTCCTCTACTTATGACCACAATGGAGCCCAAAATTTCTGTTGAAAAACAAGGCAGATGTTAAATGAATTTTGCTTCATTTTACAATGTTTCTTGCCACAGTTGTTACGTGAATCAATGTAGTTGTTAAGTTAGTAACATGGTTGTAAAGTGAATCTGGCTTCCCCACTGACTTTGCTTGTTAGAAGGTCGCAAAAAGTGATTCCGTGACCCTGGGGCATTGCGACCGTCCTAAATAGATGCCAGTTGCCAAGTGGCTGTGATGATGGGGATGCTGCAAAGAGCAGAAGTGTGAAAAATGGTCATAAGTCACTTTTTTCAGTGCCGTTGTAACTTTGAACAGTCACTGAACAAATGGCTATAAGTCAAGAACTACCTATGTAGCAAGTTGACTTCCAGAAAGAATTTAAGACAATCCAATCCAGCATTTTGTTGATGCCAAAGGGAAAGGAAGGGAGCAATTCTCCCCCTATGTCTGATATTGAAAGGCTGCATACACCCAACAGAACTATTAAAACCACGAGCCACATGATCACTTTATATTCTATGGAAGTGTCTAGCCCATTTTCAGAGATCTTTTTTTCCTCTCATGTATTCACCAATGATTTGCAACCAATCCTTTAAATGTAATAGAATTAATTTAAATTACTTAACCCACAATCCTATTAATCTAGATTGCCCTTCTCTTGATTAAGCATGGGGGCCAATTTGAAGAGTTGACAAACTGCCAGTAGTGGCTTTTCCCCCCTCCAAAATGAAATAAGAGTAAGGAGCAGGAGTTCTCATCCCCCCCTACAGGACTTTTAACATTGGGAGGAGCCTGGAAGGACCTTTTCCAGGTAATCATGTTTTATTATAAGACGTAAGTTTTGGTGAGCTGCAGCTCACTTCGTAAGATGTATAGAGTGTTAAATTAATTTAAATTGGAGGGAGATAGAGGAAAAAGGGTAGAAAAATTAAGGTGGTTATGCCGATACAGATGATACATGAAAGGTTACAAGTACCCTATCAATTAACAATTCCAATATGTTAAAAATCTATTGTTGAGACCTGAGATTGTCTGCTTTAGATTTATGCAAGCACAAGAATTTCTCATTAAATGATAAAAATCCTGTTTTTCAAAAAAAAAAAAAAAAGTTGAGACCTCTCACGATATCCTGGCAGATCGAATCCTTGGTATTATTTTGTCCTTGTTTTGAGATCTGATATCAATGCCTATTAAGCTTTTGTCTTTTAATAAAATTTATTGGTTGGAAAAGCTATTACCAGACTTCTGGTTTTTGCCACCACAGACTAATCTAGCTCTCCTCCTACAAAGAACTTTTTAAGAAATGGAAAGCAGAGACAGAGAGTTCTCACCCAAAATTGGTCATGCTGCTTTTTTGTATCTGCATAAGTGATACATTTTTTGATGCATCATTTGATCCCCACCAGCAGCCAACACTTAGATAAGCAAGGCTCAACACCAAACAATCAGAGATAAAATATAGATAGTCCTCACATAACAACCTTACTTAGGATGACAAGCAATTCCGCCACTAAGTGAAATGCCATTGCTTTTTCACTAGAAAATCAGCTTCACACATTCCACTTTTATTTGCCTTCTAACCATCCCTGCCTTTTTGAAATGCCTGCTTATTCTTTTGCATGCACTGAAAACAATGTGACTACACTGGGAGCCCAATGGACACATTACACAAACAGCTTACATTACTCTCTTGAAATCTCTTCCTCTCCAATTTTCCATTCTGCCAGGGTTAGGGGTGGGTTGGGAAAGCAAGCAATTTTTTGTAGGCAATCTCCCCTTTGCCTGATCTTCCCACCTCCAGCAGAGAGCGAGATTGGAAAGGGATTTCAAGAAAGCAAGCTGTTCTTCTACACATCAAGAATACTGTGATTACATCAACAGTGGAAAAATTTCAGACAAAGAAGTTATTCGTACAATTGCATTGCTTTTGATGTGTAGAACAACAAACAGCTTACTTTCTTGCAATCTCTTATCTAATAATTTGCTCTGCAGGAGGGGGGGGAGAAATAAAGGTAGGCACAACACCTACTGACTGTAATGTTGATCACACGACTGAAGGACACTGTGAAAGTTATTGTCTGTAAAGTTATTTTTTTCAACATCAACCTGACCTTGAATGATCACTGAATGACTTAAGTGAGAACTACCTATACTTTAATCAAAGAATCGCCAAGATGGGAACTATACACGTATCAAAACTAGCAGGGAAGCTACTGCAAATAAAGAACAAACCTCACACTCACTGATGTTACCTAGTTGACTAATAAAATGCCTGCAAGCAAACAACCAACCAGACTATCAAGAACTCAAAACATGTTCATTTTCAAGATTTAAACATTGAAGACAAAGTGCACACTGTTAGTAGGACAAGGCTACTTTTTCCCTACCCCATGCAAATCTCACTATTAAAATGGGTCTCTTTGATGTGGGAATAAACAGATGACAACGATAGTTAACTCATAATCTTTCTCAGGTTTTATTTTCTGCTTCATGCTTTTTCAAACTCTCACAGTGCTTCCCCTAAAGCAATTCCAGCATTGCTAAGTTCAGTTCACTGCTCTCTCTTTATCATCTTGGAGTTTTTGGTCTTTGTATTATTTGCTGCTTTTGTCACTGAAGAAAAGGGGGAACCTTGTTTCATTTAGCTTCTTGTTCCTTTGCCCACTGTTCAGGAGTCAGTGTTCTCTGCTCAAAGGCATGAATAAGCTTCAGCTCTTCAGATAAGAGTTCATTGACCAGTCTTAAGGAAGGCAAGACAAAGAATAAAATCGGGAAACAACAAATGGAAATCGAGAGATTGCAAATACATTCCACCCCCATAACATCTTTAGACCTGAATCGCTAATTGTTTCAAGAATAAATTGCAATTAGCTTGGTTCATACAAGATACCAAGCCAAATAGGCAAAGCTCATTTTGGCCTAAGATGTTGTGTTATCCCAGTCTTAACTTCTGTCTGTTGGAGAAGCCCCTTGGCCAATAATGCATTTCTCCAAGTTCCAAGCTTATTTGTTTCAAATTTAAATTCAATCTCTAATACTCATAATAAAACAGATGGATGTTAAAAAACAACTTTGCATATTTGGCTAAGCCATAATAGTTTGATTAGTCATCACGATTCCTTGAATTCATTTGCCCTTCCCTCCAAAATAAACTCCATTATGATTTTGCAAGTAATTCTTAACTTATAACCATTTGTTTAGCAACCATAGGAAATAACAATGGCACTGAAAAGTGCAGCATCCCCACAATTACATGACCAAAATTTGGGTGCTTGACAACTGGCATGTATCCGTGAGGGTTGCAGCATCCTGGATTCATATGATCAACATTTATGACCTTCCTAAATAGCTTTCAACAAGCAAAGTCAAGGGGGGAAGCTGGATTCACTTAACAACCGTGTTAGTCACTTAAAAACTGCAGCAAGTTGCTTAGTAACTGTGGCAAAAAAGATCATAAAATTGAGTGCAACTCACTTAGCAAGCACCTTGGTTAGCAATGGAAATTCTGGCCCCAATTATGGTTGTAAGTTGAGGACTAACTGAGAACCCCATTTCCAGAAAAATTTCTATAAATGAATCTATTGATCAATTTAAAAGCAATCCTAACAGCCTCTGAAGCCTGAAAAGGAGAAGGGATGGAAGTGCCACCCCTCAGCTGACTGCTTGGCAAGTTCAGCCAGAGTTCCTTTTACAGAAAAAAACTGTTTTATAAAATGTTCCCGCAAGAAAGAAGAAACAGGAATTCTCAATTAACCAAGAGTAAAGCTGCATGCCAGGCCAAAAAAATCAGGACCATTCATAAGATTGCAGCATAGAAGATGTATTCAAGCCTCTACACACGGATCTGGTCAACTAAAGTTCAACACTAAACTGGTGCCAGATAAAAATCAAAGGAATTCTAGAGGGGTTGGACTTAAAGCTCTTGTGGGAAAGCAAGGACTCTAAACTGATGACATGCTTAACTCCACCCCCCAACTCTGCCTGCTCTTCCCCTACACACTGTGATAAGTACTTCCATTTGTTTCAACAGAGGTAATATTTTAAAAAGAAACAATATTGGCTAAAATAATGCTTTGTCCAGGCTGGTAGAGTCGTACCCTTCTCCCACTGAACCACTCCTGAGAATCCTCTAGATCAAGAGTACCCAACGCCTGGGCAGTGGACTTGTACTGGTCTGTAGCCTGTTAGGAACTGGGTCGCATAAGCGATGGGTGAGCAAGCAAAACTTCATCTGCATATGCATGGGATCTAGGTTGTGCATGAAACCATCCCCCTCTCCCCCCCCCCAGTCCATGGAAAAATTGGCTTCCATGAAACCGGTCCCTGGTACCAGAAAGGTTGTGGACTGCTGCTCTAGATTGTAGCAGACATAAATTAACTAAATCATACATGTTTCCTTTTGGCATTAGTAACAAATAGAATTGATACTATTCTGGTTATAGGAATAGATAGTCCTTGCTTAACAATCATTAATTTAGTGACCTTTCGAAGTAAGCATGGTGCTAAACAAATGGTATTTATGACCCGTCCTCATAGTTATGGCTGCTGCAGTGCCCCTGCAGTCATTTGATCAAAACCCAGGCACTTGACAGCCTGCCAGCATTTACAACTGCAGAGTGGGCTTCAGCTCCTCCTACCTGCTTATCCTGTACCCCTTCTCTGCCCTGGACTCTATTCTGCAAGGCAGAGAACAGGGTAGCATGAGTGGCAGGGAGCAGGACAACCAAAAGGGACAGTGATGAGGGGGCGCGCGAGTGGAGGCAAGCATGGCAGGGCAGGAAAAGAGTGAAAGCCTTACCTAATGATGACAGTCCTGGCCTAACTACAACCAGTTATACTGGAACTGTTGTTGGTAAGTGTTGCAGTCACACTAACAAACAATTTTTTCAATGACAGAAATTCGGGTCCCAATTAGGATGATTAAGACTTGCCCGTAGTTCTTTCTTAACGAACCCAATTGCGATGGACAATTCTGTTGTTAAGTGATGCAGTCATTAAGCAAGATACTACATGATCACAACATCACCTCGCTTCTGCTGCAGTTGTTAAATGAGATATCACAAGACTGTGAGTTGCAATTTTATCTTGATTGTCAGAATCCAGCTATGAAGTGCGTAAAATGGAGATCATGTGACTATAGGACATTGTGTAAATGCCCACTGATTGTAAAGCACTCAAATCTTGATCACATGATCATGGAGACACTGCAACAGCCATAGTATGAGGACCACCATAAAGTTAATTTTTCAATCATATTGTAACTTCAAATGGTAGTTAAACAGGCCAAAGGTTAAGCAGGGACCACTTGTAGTTTCAAATACATAATTCACTTTCCTCATTTTGGATATTCAACTATTTTTTCCTTGCATTTTAAATAATGTAATAAAAAATGATGCAGATAAATCATTCGTTATTAAAATATTTGGAAGGGTCCAAATAAAAAAGAATGTCACAGAGAAGCTGTGAAGTAGCCTGAATATAATTTTGAGGTTCTAAAATGCAATGTTGATCTCCCATAATCACGTGAGATTTAGGCAGCATTTAAAATTAGCACAGCATATTTAATCAACAGGCAGCTATTGTATGAATTATGCTGGGGAGGGGGAATCACAATTTTGAAATGCACACTTTTCTTTTGATAGCGATTTATCAGATACATTTCTATTTCTAAACTGGATCTGTACATTTAAATCAGGATAATGAAAGTATGAGAAAGGTATTTAATAAATAAACTCCAGAAGAAAGAACATATCTGTGTGTATGAGTGCATTTATTTTGCTGGACAGCCTAAATCAGTTATTACCTCACAAGACCACTGCTGTTGTAGAATAAAATGGAGGAACATTATTTACACTGTTCTGAGCAATTCAGGGGAAGGATGGGATTAAAAATCAAGGGTAGATTAAACCAATAGAGGAACAAAAGACAAAAAGAAAGGTGACTGAGGGAGCAGGAAAGCATGGAAAATAAGTGTAAAGAATGCCTGATTTTGTAGTCCTCATTTCCTCATATTCTAAAATTTTGAAAAACTGTTAGGATAATTCCAACTATTAAGAAAATAAAAGACTGTTCAATCCATCATCCACTGACTAAGCTAGTTCTTCCTATAGTTACTTACCGGTGTCGTTGTAATAGTGCTTTTCCTCGGAAACATGGAGAAACTACCAAAACTTTGAAGCTTGTAGCACAGCGCCCAGGGGTAGTATCTTCTACCTCCTTATTATGTGTAAAACAAAAAGACAGTACATGTATATACTATTTAAAACATAACAATAAATTTAATAACCTGAATACATTTTATTTATACTCACACAGATAATGAAAAAGAAAACTTTGAAAGGAAATGTTAAAAAGCACATGAAAAGCCGATTTACAGGAAATAAAAATGCAAGGGATCTCAGAAAAGAGTGCATTAGATCAGCAGAATACTATTAGAAAATGAAATGTGCACCAAATAAGTTTAATAAAAAGGAAAGTTTCAAAAGAAATCAAAATTTAGGATAAAAATATCCATAACATCATAATCCTAAATATGTCTATTTTTTAAAAAATGAAGCTTACTGAACACCTTAAAGGTATCCTAAGAAGCAAATCCCACTGAATTTAATAAAAGTTATTTCTGTGTAAACATGGTTAGGTCTGCAAATAAGTTCCAGTCATTTTGGTCTGGCCCAATTTTACAGGCTGCTCATCATCTATTTTTTCTTTTTCCTTTACCTGCATTCTTGAGTTGAAATTGTAGTGTTATTCTATCACTTTGGGAAGACATTTTTAAGTTAGTTGATAAGATGGCAACATATTAAAAAACAGCAAACCCACTCATACCCCAGCAAAGTGCAAGATTTAGAGCTTAAACTTAATAACACCAACCCCGTACAGCGAATAAAACAAAATGCTATTTACTTCTGAAAAAGTAGGCAAATTTTAAAGTCATCTTTCCTCAACCTGGTGCATTCTAAAGCCTATGCTCGCTGGGAAGCACATCGTGCAAACATCAAGTCATGAAAACTGGTTTATCCTGTTCGAGGAGGAGTATCTTGTAGCTATTCAGTGGAAGAATTATTTTTACAAAGGAGGGGAATATTGGCATTTTTCAATAGAATAGAGTTTTAAGCAGCACAAAACTTTAAACAACAATGGCCCACTATGGATAACTGAGACTAAAACTATCTGAAAAATGATTAAGGCGTGTATTTGAAAAAGCAACGTAAAATAGCATTGCAAAAGAACAGCAAAGGTTTTTTAATGCTTAAGAGGGGTTTTTAAATCAAATTTTAGAGGAGAAAGGGTGCCAACTTAAATCTAGCCCTTTGGACTGCCTGCTTTCGGGCTGTGAATGGGAAGCGCTCCCATTTACCACATGCTCGGCCTCAAGTCCTTGAAGCAGCCGCTCCCGCAGGGCCTCCGCGCTGAGAACTCCAGACGGCTCCATCGCGCCCGAAAAAGCCACCCTGAATGAAAGAGAACCCAGTAACTAGTTCTTTCATTTCCGCCTCTGGGTGACGTCACATCCTCCCCATTTCGGCCTGTATCTTATGTAACCAATCAACGTGCAATACATCACACCGGTGGTTTCATCCCTAGAGCAACCAAATGAAGAGTGGCACAGCAGCTCAGCCGGTTCTAAAAGTTACACTAAAAAAGGGGTCTTCAAACTTGGCCCTTTTATGATTTGTGGACTTCAACTCCCAGAATTCCTCAGCCAGGCATGCTGGCTGAGGAATTCTGGGAGTTGAAGTCCACAAGTCATAAAAGGGCCAAGTTTGAAGAGCCCTGCCCTAAACTTTCTTTGAGGAGCCCTTGGTGCTCTCTGAGCTTGGTTGCGTTCTTGCAGACGTTTCATTACCCAAACTAGGTAACATCATCAGTGCTAGTAAGGAACATATTTTTTGCTATCAGTTTATATTCTAGCGCGACTTGCTATGTCAATGTTTGTGGGGGCGATCTTAGAGATTCTTTGGTTGTGCTGTTTACTGTTGGCTCTTTGGCAGTTTCTAGATTGGAGTATTGCTTATTTGATTGCTGGCCTGAAGTTAACCTTGGAATTAATCTATGCTAATCTGGGTGCTGATTGCTGATGGAGAGCGGCTTGGGGCTTTTTGTTCCTTTTTGGGCTGGGTGATAGCCTCTTTTGCACAGTCTATAGATGTTAATGTCCATGTGGTCTATTGAGGGCTGATTTGTCAGAGTGCCAAGGTCCAGAATGGATTAAACTTTCTTTGCAAGTCTATGTAAATATATAGACTTCGACTACAAACAGTATACAGGACACATACATGTAATTTGTTAAAAGTTAATATTTTTTTAAAAAAAATCTAAGTTTATACTGTGACTCAGACCACACTTTTTTTTTAATGCCACCTCTATTCGCATCTCTAGAGCTCATTCCTGCAATTAGCTCCTCTTACTTTAATCCAGTTGTGGCACTGCATAGGTTTTTTCCCTCTGTGGGCGGGACATCTCTCTGCCTTCGCCAATAGAATGTAAGCAAAGTATCATTTGAAGAAACGGTCAGTAGAGCGGAGAGGAATATTGCTAGGCAACGGTCTACCGGCTGCTGTGGTCGCGAGGGTAGGCAGGTTCGAAAGGGGCGTGGCGACGAGAGCGGAGGAAGGCTGGGACTGGAAAAGTGCAGGGCGTAATGGGAAATGTCTGCTTATTGGGCGGGGTCGCTCTCAGCCGCCGCATCCGAAGGGGAAGGGGACTCTACTAAGTAGTAGAAGCCACTACCACTACTTAAGCTATATGCAGGATTAGGTTTGCATTTCAGGGTCTGGGTTGAACAGCAGGCAGAAATTCAACAGGTACTGTTTTTTCTCCACTTGGCAATGCAGAAATTTCAGTTTCGGATATTTTGGTGAAGAATTCCCTGTTGGTTGGCAAAATGCACATGCCTTCTTTCTGCTATGAAGATACAAAGGAGTCCGATTTGCGATTCACTATCTCGGAGAATTAGGGAAAATAACACAAGGGAGGGCTTAACTAAAATTCCAGCAGCAGCAGCCAGACGACTGTTAGCAAGGGATGCTGGGAATTGTAGTTCGAAAACATTTGTAAGCTATACTGATCCCGAGTTATCAGCCCTGTTGGATTCTGTTGATGGGTGGATACAGTTATGGGTGTTCAGCTTTTCTAACACTTGATTTCTTCTTTCATGTAGGTTTCTCCAGCCTGTTCCTCTCTTTGTGGAAGAAATGGTGGTGGAAATATGTGGCTTCTTTGGGGTATATCTACTATACTGCACCAACCCCCATTACCAGGGACGGATCTACATTGGCTTCACTGTCAATCCCGAACGACGCATAGACCAACACAATGGTGGAAAGCGGCGTGGTGGGGCCTGGAAGACAAGTGGACGTGGGCCATGGTAATTCAAGAGTGTGTAAAAGATACTGTGTTCGCAAATCTACCATGGGTTCCACATTTGTGAAGTGAAACTACAGCTTCTTCTCAGCCCCAACCAGATGTAGGGGGAAAACCTTGGGAAATTCCAGAGGAGTGTTTCCCAATTTTAGCCATTTTAAAATGTGGCCTTAAATACCAGCAGATATTCTGGGAGTTTGAAGTCCATATCTTACATTGGGTAAGGTTGGGAAACACTGCTCTATAGCAGAGGTCCCCAACCTTTTGGGCACCAGCGACTGGTTTCCTGGAGGTTTTTCCACGGACTGGAGAGTGCAGTTTTGTATGTTGCCTGTTGCTTGGGGCTTTGCTTTTTCTGTGGACCGGTTGCTGGCATGCTATGGCCCGGTACCAGTCCACAGACCGGGGGTTGGGGACCCCTGCTTTATAGGAAACTGTTTTTTTCACTATCTGGTTTTTCTCTTTTGTGATGAGATCTCAGTGAGGCCAAAAGTTCAGAAGGCTGGAACAGGAACTTTCTGGGACAAAATGTGTTGCTGTCCTTTTGGGCTTCATGCATTTCTCTCTTCTTGCAGGGACATGGTGTTGATTGTTCATGGTTTCCCCTCTGATGTGGCTGCTTTACGCGTAAGGCACTTTTCAGTAATTATTTTGTTTCTTCAGGATTCACAGAATATGGCAACCTAAAATGTGGTTAACTAGCTTGAGGTTCTGTGTGTTCACCAAACCTAGTTTGGGATTCAGTATGTTGTGAGAACCCAGCCAGTTGAATATAGGTAGTCTTTGACTTACAACCATTCATTTAGTGACTATTCAAAATTACAACAATACTGAAAAAAATAACTTAAAGCTAATCCTCACACTGCTGTTGCAGGAGTCACATGGTCATGTGATCAAAACTGGGCACTTGGCAACCAGCATGTATTTATGATGGTTGCAGTATCCCATAGTCATGTGATCACCATTTGCAATTTTCCCAACTGGCTTCCAACAAGCAAGGTCAATGTGAGAAGCTGGACTCCACTTAATGACTCCATGATTCACTTAACAACTGCAGTGATTTGCTTAACCATGGCAAAAAAAGTGATAAAATTTATGTGACTCACTTAACAACTGCCTTGTTTAGCAACAGTCCCAATTCTGGCTGTAAGTCGAAGATTACTTATGATTGAAAAAGCCATACTTAAACCATAAGAGTAGGTGGGCATATCTTCCCCTTCCGTTCATTCCTAAATTCCAGCAATCCCATTTGATTTAATCTCTCTTGTCTCTTCTTAATTTCCAGTTTGAGTGGGCCTGGCAGCATCCTCACTCCTCTCGCCGTCTCAACCATGTCGCCCGCCGCAAAACACGGGAGCGTCAGTTTGACTTCCGCTTGCGTGTCTTGGCCCACATGCTGCAAACTGCTCCCTGGTGCCGTCTGCCCCTCACCGTCCGATGGCTCAAGCAGGAGTACTGCCGAGAGTTCCCTCCAGGCTTGGAACCCCCCTTACACATGCCCATAGCCTTTGGGCCAGTTCGAGCTGTCAAAGACAGTAAGCATGATGAACCATTATCTCCCGAGGAACAAGTGGCGATCACAAAACATTGTAGTGTCTGTCTGAAGACCTTCCAGGTAACCGTCAGGGGTGCTGTTCTTTCCACAAACAGAAAGGCTAGAGCAGGGGTCTTCAAACTTGGGTCCTTTTATGACTTGTGGATTTCAACTCCCAGAATTCCTCAGCCAGGTACGCTGGCTGAGGAATTCGGGGAGTTGAAGTCCATAAGTCATAAAAGGGCCAAGTTTGAAGACCCCTGGGCTAGAGGTTAAGTGGATCCTAAGAGGCAAGTTTGCTCTGACAAAATGGGAGCTGAGCTTCTATAAGATGCCTCCTCTAAGGCAGAATTGGATTTGAACTGGAAGAAATAATTTTAACCAAGGAAGGGCGGGGAAGAACTGGACTTGAGATCAAAAGTGGCAGCAGCTAACCCTATATTTGTTTGGGGAGCAGCAGATTCCTCTGGACTGAAGTACACTCCTTCTCAAATTCCTCTCTGCAGGATGGGGACGAGGACATTCCCTTGCACTGTTTTCATTCAGCTTGTACCATGGCTGCTCATATGTTTTGCCTGTCTCGTCTTTTCCTGGAAAAGGAGCCTAATCATATCCTGCCCATTGAAGGGCAGTGCCCAGGGTGAGCAATTTCTTCTGTGCATTGGGGGGGGGGGGGATGTGGAGGTGTAGATGTTGGTATTCTGTCCTTGCACCTGTTTCCCAATTATTAGCTCCATTTATTTATTTATTGGCTTTTATCCCACCTTTATTACTTTTTAACTAGCTCAATGTGGTGAACATACCTAATATGCCTTCCTTCTCCTATTATCCCCACAAGAGTCTTTTATGCCTGATGTGAGACTAAAACTCACAATATCCTGGTTTCCCCCTTTTCCTCAGCTGCAAGAATCTTATCCTTTGGGGAGATCTGATTCGTCACCATAAAGGTTGCTATGGTAACTTAGAGGGTGATCCCTCCTCCTCTCAGGTAAAACTCTTTCTGTTATTCCTAGACTTGTGTGGTTTATCTTGAAATGTTTATTTCCTGAATTAAGTTCAGCAGTTTTATATCCTGATTTAATTGAAGCTTTGAATTCTGAGTTAATCTTTTCTTCTTTGGATCAATATTTTTCCTCTCTTCACTGTTGATAATAATTTTGGCTATAGCTTAGCAAACTGATACTTTATCTTCTTTATTTTTCCTATATATATTGTACCTGCTTCACTTATGTCTTCACCCAATATAATTACTTTTATGCTGCAGAAGCACTGGGCTGATGAACTGCAACCGTGAGGGAGGAGACCTTTAAAAAGTGACCAGGATCTATTTCCTCGCTGAGAGTGGATCAGCGGATCTCAGCATGGTGCACAGTTCAGTTTCTCTTAGTCTGATGTCCAAAAGTCTAGAAAACAGCTAAGTAAGGCTGGGTTTTCTGCTCATGTTTCCCACTCCAGAATCATGTAACAAAATAATGTTTAATGTTATTAAGTGGAATAATTAAATTGAAGGACCTGGATGTTTATGGATTGAGAGACAGGAATCACGCTCAATAAACTTAAAATGAGCATGTAAATAATATAGCTATTGTTTTATATTGTATATATAGTGCATTGAATGCTTCAGTGGATTGTAAAAAAAGACACTCTTTGGAATGCAGAGAGAGATTCTTGAGAAAACACATTTCTGATTGTATATGGTCTTTTTCTCATTTATGCAAAGCATTTAACAAACACTTTCAGTAATTCTTACAACTTTCTTTTTGGCATTAACCAAATATTGCAGATGAGAGGACTGAATAGTAGCTTGCCTAAAACCTCTAAATTAATGAATTAAAAATCCATCAGTTGAACCATCAAGGTAGAATGTTTTTAATGAAGTTAACTGACATGAGTCTTTGTTGATTATGATAGTGTACAAAATAAACTTGAAAATTTGTATCATAAAGATAGCAGTTATCTCATATATGCTAAAAAGGCAGCCATAGAAACTGAAGAATATATAAAAGATCATTCCTAGAAAATAAATATTCCCCGCATAATGGCCACATGATCAAACCATAAGATTTGGAGTTATTCCAGATTTTATCTGTGGTGTACTGTTTTTAAAAAGGATCCAGCTTTGGAGAAAAGTCAATTTTTTTCCTCTGAAAAAATTGGGAGATTTTTAATTAGAATATGATTTTAAGAGCCTGAAAAGCCAAAATGATTTGACAATATATTAGAACAGATGTTTGTCTTTGTGAAAATTAATTTATGAATTCTGTAATCAAGTGTCTTTAAGCAGTTTTCAGACTGTTTGTAAAAAGGGAAAACAACTTATTATGTAAACAAATGTTGCACTGGTTTTCTACTGTACAGAATAAAAAATGAATCGTTAAATAGCCAAATCAGTTTCACTTTACATTATTCCAGCATGGCCAGTTGTGAGGAAGGCTGAGAGCTGTCTTCAGCAGCCACTGGAAGGCCAGTTTTCTGACCTTGCAGTAAAAGTGTGATTTCCGCTAAGAACTTACCAGAGAGCAATATAAAAATCCATCACAGCAAGCACAACATACAATGAGACCACTTTGTTTTGTGTTTTCCTATCTGGCCTTCCCTCCCCAAATTGCACTGCCAAACGTATACCTACATCTAAGCAGTCTGAGGCGCAAAAGGACTGAAGTCTCCATGATGGGAACACATTCTGGATATAAATTTGCGTTTAAGAGCATACCAGGCCAGTGCTTCTTGATCAATCAATCAGTCTTGCCTCTAGCTTTAAAACATGGAATTTCTTTTATTCTGAGTTAACCCATCTCTTCATGGGTTAAATCTGTGGACTGCCTCCCAAAATAGTTGGCAAGTATCATTTTGCCAGCCTGCTCCATTACTAGAAGATGTTTTGCCTTTAAATCTTACTTCCTGAATGAGCCTCATTTGTTTTGGGCATCGGTACAGCAAAGCAGGGAAAAGGATTTTTCTGATTTCACAAGGCTTTAGCTGATACAAAAATACTGATCAAAATTAGCTATTTTCCCAGGAGTATTCACTCATCTATACTAAGGGTTGAATCAGTGACGTGATGGAAATACTCACTTCTAGCCAGCAAGCGGTCCAAAAATTCGAAATAAATAAACAAGAACTCAGTCTCCTCACTCCCATTCTGGATCAAATAAAATGTGGATGAATAGTTTTGACTTGGATGAAGTCTATCTTCACTGAATGGCATAAATATGTACAGATTTTCCTTTGCACTCTCAACAGAGTTGATTCGATTCCCCTGAGAGCTGTGTGTGTCCTTAGACACATTTTGTTCATATTCAAGATGTGGACAAAGAGCAAATAGACATTATTCCACACCACTCCCACACCTGGTCTGGATTCCAAGCCCTGCAGGACACAAACCAAACTACCTTTATTCCCCCGTTGTACAGGACTTCTCAATCTGTTGCACAAATTGGAAGCAGTAGATCCTTTTGTCAAGATCTTCCTTGGCTGCAAACGAAGTGGAACACAGATTATCAGAATAATAAGAAAATCAAGACCGGTCCTCTTTCAAATGAGCCATAATTTAAGATGAAATTGGACAGTCTTTAACATTTAGAAAAGGATTGAAGAGGACATTCAAAAAAAAAAAAAAGATCCAGCCCCTTAAAACAAAAGTGAAAAATCAGCTTGCATGTCATTCACTCATATACATTCCAAAGTATTATCTAGTACAGATAGTCCTTGATTTATAGTGACTCTTCAAAGTTGTGATGAACCCTCCAAAAGATACTTCAACCCAGTTTTGAAGTTCTGACATCGGGTTCCCCCTCCTGTGATCACATGACTGGATTTATGGCTGTTTATAGCACCCATGGTCACATGACTGTAATTTACGATGTTTTTGCTGGAAACTGCCATTTCTGTTTTTTGACAAAACCTGCCCCATAGCAAATGGGTATGCTTAAAGACTATGGTGTTTGTTTCACAACCATATAAAAAAAGATAGTAAAATTGAGTCTTGACACATGGTGACTTGCTTTACCACGATAACTTACAACCATAATCACCAGGTTCAATCATGGTTGTAATTTGTGACTACCTTTTCCTATTAGGTCTTTAACCAGATGCTCTGAAACAGACATGTCCTGTCAAACTCGCGACATCACATGACGTCGCACGACATATCGTGACTGTTTTGCCATTGCCAGCAATGGGGTGGGCGCGACTCCCACATGACGCATCCGGTCCACGGGCCGGCAGTTTGACACCCCTGCTCTAAAAGCTCATCTGTTCTGATTCTAAAGATGCCAGAGGGTGAAACTAGGATGCAGAACTCATTTTTGAAGAAAAAAGAAAAGCCGTTTTTTTTTCTCCTTCACCATATTTTTAACACAGACTGCTATTAACCCAGGTTTATAGATAGATCTGGCAGCATGTAATCATGCTAACTAGGTCTAATGCCACCATTTGGGGAAATATGGATTTCCTAACCTCTTCTTTTTGGTTTTGCTCAGCATCCATGATCCTTGTACATAGAAAGCACTTGTAAGGTTCCTTTTGATCAAGGGGTCCTTCTCCATTAGCTAACCAGACAGCAGGCAAATATGGAGGTTTGGCCACAGCAGCTAATCTCTCTTGGGGGGGGGGGCAACTACTTTGATTGACAGACCATAGCAGCAAATTTTGTAATATTTTGTCTTATATTTCCAGTTCTGTTCGTCACATATTGTTTCCTTGCAAGATTAACTGGTTTAATATGTTGTACATACAAATAAGCCAAATAAGTGTGTTAATCAGTCACAGCTCCTGTGTCCAATGAGGCTGATTTCTGGGTAAGTACACAAAAAGACACTCAAGAGTAAGACTGACTGATTATAGAGGAATTTACCTTCCTCTTTAATCAGACAACAGTCCCTGTCTCTCTTTTGTCTCCTTAAAAAGGAGCAGGAATCCTGTAGCCCTCTAGGTATTGCTGATTTCTACTGCCAGCATCCCTCACCTAGGTTATCCTAGGACTGTAGTTTGGGAAATTCTTGACATTCCCGTATTCCACACTTGTTTTTCATTGGGCGTTTGTTTCAATCTCCACCTGATGGGACCTTTGTAGCGCCAATGAAAATGTTTTTTCTCCATCCTAATTAGTACAGCCTACCTCCTTTCTCTGCAATCTGAACATTCATTATTACAGTTATTTCTCAACCTTAATACAAATGGACCTCAACTGCCTAGGGAATTCTAGGAGTTGAAGTTCACATATGTGAAAGTTGCCAAGGTTGAGAAACACTGATTTATAATGATCCCTTAAGAAGGAAATGTCAATAAAGATTTACCAGGCTATGCTCCTAGGTCAGTGGCCCCCAACCTTTTTGGCACCAGTGACTGGTTCCATGGAGAGAGGTTTTACCGTGGACCGGAGGGGGCAGGGTTTCACGTGCTGCTTGCATCCCACGGATGGGGCTTTGCTTGTCTCCACAGCCCCATTTCTGGCATGCCAAAGCCCGATACCGGTCCATGGCCCAGGTTCTGGGGATCCCTGTTCTAAGTAATATGACGTTACCTAGCCTAGTGACGAAACATTCGGAAACTAAACAAGTCCGGAGAACAAACTACCACCACCGTGCTCCTCCTGCCCACATTTCCTTTCAACCCGCATATCTATTATTTCTTTCTTAATTTTAGCTGTTGCTTTTACTCCCAAGAACCCAAGATGGCCTACACAGGGGATTTAGTGAATTGCGAGTCTCCCAATCACACAGTACCTACCACGAGTGGCGTCTCTGGTGATTCACAACATGTGAACGGCGTGTGAACCTCTTTCCGCAGTACGTGCACTGGTGAGGCTTCTCTCCTGAATGAATGAGGAGATGTTTTGTGAGGGTTGTGTTCCGGTTGAAGCTATTCCCACATTCTGGACATTGATACGGTTTCTCACCCGTGTGGATCCTTTCGTGCCTGATGAGATCCCACTTTTTCCGAAACCTTTTCCCACACTCCTTACACAGATGTCGTTTCATTTCGAGGTCAGCCGGGACTCCCCCAAACACTTCATCCTTCATCATCCTTGTGGAAAGGCTGCCTTTCTGTGATCTTTCTGAATCACACTTGCTTACGTGAGATCTTCTGGGGCTGCCTTTTGGGAAAAGGACCTCTCCAAATTCTGGAGACCTCCATCCTCGTTCCTCTGCCTCCAACTCTCCTTGGTGCATATCCTTTGCCCCCATTCTGGCAAAATTGTCTTCTGATTGAAGAAAGACAAGCGATAGGAAAGACCAAAATTTTACAGTTGCTATGTTCGGTTTACCAAGGTATGTAGTACAGGTAATTATTGACTTACAATTGTTCAAAGTTACAACAGCACGGAAAAAAGTGACTTGTGACTATTTTTCATGCTTACAAGCAATGCAGCATCCCCATGGTCATGTAATCAGAATTCAGATGCTTGGCAACTAGCATGTATTTATGATGGTTGCAGTGTCCTGGGGTCATGTGATCAGCTTTTGTGACCTTCTAACAAAGTTAATGGGGAAGCCAGATTCACTTGACAACCGTGTTACTAGTTTAACAATTGCAGTGATTCACTTAAAAACTGTGGCAAGAAAGTCGTACAATGGGCCAAAACTCACTTAGAAGCTGTCTCGCTTTGTAAAAGAAATGGGACTCAATTGTGATTGTAAGTCAAGGCCCCTTGAATGCGGCGTGCCACAGGGGTCGGTCCTCTCTCCCCTATTTAACATTTATATGAAGCCGCTGGGTGAGATCATCAGATAGCACGGGGTGAGGTTTCATCAGTATGCTGATGATACCCAGTTATATATCTCCTCCCCAAGCTCTCTCAGTGAAGCGGCCGATGTGATGGGCCATTGCCTTGAAGCCGTGACGGTCTGGATGGGGGTTAACAGACTCAGGCTCAATCCTGACAAGACCAAGTGGCTTTGGATGTTGCCTCCCAAGGATCATGTCGACTGTCCAGTGTTGACTCTTGCGGGGGAAAATACCCCCTTCGGAGCGGGTTCGCAACTCGGGTGTCCTCCTTGATCCACAGCTGAATTTGGAACATCAATTGACGGCTGTGGCTGGGAGGACCTTTGCACAAGTTCGCCTGTTGCACCAATTGCGACCCTACCTGGACCGGGAGGCTCTCCTTACAGTCACTCACGCCCTTGTCACCTCATGTTTGGACTACTGCAACGCGCTCTACATGGGGCTACCCTTGAAAAGTATTCGGAGACTGCAGTTGGTCCAGAATGCAGCTGCGCGAGTGATAGTGGGTACTCCTCGATACACCCACGTTACACCTATCCTCCGTGAGCTGCACTGGTTGCCTATTGGTCTCCGGGTCCAATTCAAGGTGTTGGTCATTACCTTTAAAGCCCTATATGGCTCAGGGCCAGGCTATTGCGAGACCGCCTACTACCTCATAGTTCCCTACGTCCGGTTAGATCCCACAGGCTGGGCCTCCTTCAGGCCCCGTCGGCCAAGCAGTGCCATTTGGCGGGGCCGCGGAGGAGGGCCTTCTCTGTGATGGCGCCCACGCTTTGGAATCAGCTCCCCCCGGAGATTAGGACCGCTCCCACCCTGTTGGTCTTCCGTAAGCTACTTAAGACCTGGCTTTTCCGGCAGGCCTGGGGTTTATAAAACCTTACCCCTGGATGATTGTTTTTGTATTGTTGTTTTGTTATGTTTTATGTGTTTTTTATTGTTAGCTGCCCAGAGTCCTTCGGGAGTGGGGCGGCTTATAAATTTTAAAAATAAAAATAAAAAATAAAATAATACCTGTAATAGTATTATATCTGTGGAATATCATTTCAGCTAATCAGAATGATATACGTTGTTCTGGCAGATGATACGATTCCTAAAATAAGTAAGTTGTGGCCCTTGTGTTAAATTCAGCATACTGGGAAGCTCAACTTTACATTGCTTATACATAAAATCATTTTAAAAAATAAGGGCAGCATTGAACAATTTAAGTTGTTTCACATTCCACACTGGGATGTCAAACTTAAAAACAGTCAGGAGGTCCCTATTCCTCATCCAATGCTTTATATCAAATTTGTCCTTTTTCAAGAACAAGGCTTTTTTTCTTCATTTTGGTGTAATTTTATCCTTAATGTTCATTTCACTTCCATTCCATTGTCTTACCTTCAATGATTTCACTGCCATTCAGCCTGAATGGGTAGAGAAGCAGTCCCACTTTTATGCTTCAAGATGGATTGATTTTTTCCCCCCTTTTTGGGGTTGTATATCCCAAACCCTCTCTGGAAATCTTAAAGTCATCACAAAGTTTACCTATCCAGAGCCCTTTGGATGTTTTGCATTAAAAACCAGGTGGGAGAATTTTATTAGAGATGAGGGCCAGACTTTCCCTCGATATTCTCATGTAATTTTTTCCTTTAATTGCTCTTCGCTCTTGCTTAACACAGGTAGTCCTCAACTTAAGCCCAACATTTTTGTTGCTGAGACATTTGTTAAGTGAGTTTTGCCCCATTTTAAGACCCTTCTTGCCACAGTTGTTAAGTGAATCACTGCAGTTGTTAAGTTAGTGACACGGTTGTTAAGTAAACCTGTTGCCCCATTGACTTTGCTTGTCAGGAGTCGCAAAACACTGCAACCATCATAAATATAAGCCAGTTGCCAAGCATCCAAATTTTGATCACGTGATCTCAGGGATGGCGCATGGTTGTGTGAAAAATGATCGTTAAGTCACTTTTTTCCAGTCCCATTGTAATTTTGAACAGTCACTAAATGAACTGTTGTAAATCAAGGACTACCTGTACTAGCAGTCAACTGCTTTATTCCTTAAAAGCAAGGTTACCTTTTAAATTTTTTTGTAGGATAGAGTCAGATACATATAAATAGTCCTTGACTAATGATCGTAATTGGGACCAGAATCTCCACTGCAAAACAAGGTGATTAAGTGAAGAGTGGCCAATTTTACTATCTGTTTTGCCATGGTTATTAAGCAAATCACTATTATTGTTAAAGGAATGACACAATTATTAAGCAAATCTGGCATCTCCCGCTGATGGCTTAATAATAATAGTAAAGTTGGAAGGGACCTTGGAGGTCATTTAGTCCAACCCCCTGCTCAGGCAGGAAACCCTACACCATTTTGGACAAATGGCTGTCCAGTCTCTTCTTAAAAACTTCCAGTGTTGGAGCATTTACTGCTTCTGGAGGCAGGTTGTTCCACTGATTAATTGTTCTCAATGTCAGGAAGTTTCTCCTTAGTTCTAGGTTGCTTCTCTCCTTGATTAGTTTCCACCCGTTGCTTCTTGTCCTGCCTTCAGGTGCTTTGGAAAATAGCTTAATTCCCTCTTCTTTATGGCAGCCCCTGAGATATTGGAATACTGCTATCATGTCCCCCCTTGTCATTCTCTTCGTTAAACTAGACATACCCAATTCTAGCAACCGTTCCTTATATGTTTTAGCCTCCAGTCCCCTAATCATCTTTGTTGCTCTTCTCTGTACTCTTTCTAGAGTCTCAACATCTTTTTTACATCGTGGTGACCAAAACTGGATGCAGTATTCCAAGTGTGGCCTTACCAAGGCATTGTAGAGTGGCATTAATACTTCACGTGATCTTGATTCTATCCCTCTGTTAATGCAGCCTAGTACTGTGTTGGCCTTTTTGGCAGCTGCAGCACACTGCTGGCTCATATTTAGGTGATTGTCTACTAGGACTCCGAGGTCCGAGCTTGTCAGGAGCCAACTGGGAAGGCTGCAAATGCACATGACTCCAGAATGCTGCAATTGTTGTAAACACATACTGGTTGCCAAGCCTCCAAATTTTGATTACATGACTATAGGAATGCTGTGATGGTCATAAGAGTGAGGACCGGTCATAAGACACTTTTTCAGTGCCATCGTAACTTGTGAACGGCTGCTGAACGAATGATTCTACGTCGAAGACTACCTGTACTGAGTCACATTTTTTAATCCATTCCTTTTCTCAGAAGGTTTAAGAGAAGAAATTAATCGAGGATCCAAGTTAAGGGTTAACAGAAACCAGACTGTAATACTGTAGTGTAAAATGCACATAATTAAAAAATCAGCAGCAAATATTTTCTTTCTGAAAAACCTTCATTATGATTACTTTGCAAGCAATCTCCCTTTTTTATAAGAAGAAGAAAGCTAATTATATTTATGTCAATTATTTCAAGTCTCTGAATAATCAGATTGAATGTCCTGTCTTTGTAAATAAATGGAAGGCTGCTTTAAGTAACATGAAATTCATTTCCTGTTATATTAGAAATTGCATAGGAATTTTTTGGGTAATATCTACAATATTTGGAAATTATAAAGACATCAAGAATCATAATTTTGGAAGCATGGAGAAATAACAGAACAGGGCTTGGCTTGCAGCAGTGGGTTGCTGAAATGTGCTGTTAGTAAGTCTCTGTTTTGTTTTGTTTTTTTCAACAAAGAGGCAATGAAGAATTTTGAGCAATATGGTCAAATCTTTTTGGAATTATTTTGTTCAAACTTAATTTTTCAAGGCTTCTTCTTTTTTATGATAATCATTGAGCATTGCATTATGTAGTAACACTGTTGAACATATAGTTTTCTTTTGATATATAGTTTAATAAAATAAAACAGTTACCTTGAGAAATACTATTTTCAGTGTCAACCTGTTTGTTTTCTTTGTGGAGATGTTTTGCTTCTGACTGGGCCTGATCTACAGTGGGAGAATTAACTATCACCATCTCAATTGGCACAGTTACCTGAAACAAAGATAAAGAGACATGATTAGAGTAGCTAATCCAAGGATAGGATATGTTAAGAGTTGTGGGCATGTGTGCTGGATACAAGGGATAGGGTTTTGAAACTGATGCTGAGTGCAGAACTTTTCACACTAATTTGACATGCTAAGTCAAGTTTCTAGTCTTTATTGATGCGCAAAGAAAAGCATTGCCCATATATATAACAAAATTAAAACTAGGCAGAGAAGATGGGATCTGCAGCATAGTATGTGATTCCTCAATAATCAAAACAAATGAATAGTGATTGCTGTAACAGGCACTACAATCACACCAAACAATGCAGATAGTTTGCTGAACAATTCCTCCCACAACCTACCCAACTTGGCTCATTTACACATAGAAATGGTATATATATCTACAGCTTTACAGTAGAGTCATCAGCATGGAAATACATACTGGTTTGTCTAGTATCTTCCAACCAATCATAACTGATTACAAACAGAATCAGAGTTAATTTCAAAGATTTGGTTTGCCCTTCCCATTTGTTTGACACATGCTGCTTTTTGAATTGGATAGGCAATTTTCTTCATAATTTGTATGCATATAGATAAGTCTGTGTGTATCTTTGGGTGTGTATACTCTTTTTCAGAAGAGTCTTATAAGAAACCATAATTTATTATACACCTTTTGCAATAGGGTTAGTCCTCGAATTATGACTGTAATGGAGCCTGCCCTTCAGTCATACACTTATGATGGTTCTAAATCTGATCTTATAACCTTTTTTGTGGCAGTCATTAAGTGAACCAACAGTTTCACTATGAGCAGTTTTGCCAAAAACTGTATGTAAATGCCAGTGTTTGGCAAAACTGTCATAAAATGCAAATATGGCCCAGTTGCTTAGTGTGCAACATGACAGGGGGGAGGATCAAATCTGCATTGTAAGTATCCCCAGGTAGTTCCTTCGGAACTTGGAACAGTTGTTAAGCAACCTGTTGTAAGTTGATGGTTTCGGGGTGTACTAATTGCCTAATTCTTTAGCAGCTTACAAAGGCTAAAACAATATCCATTTCTTCATATTAGCATGTGCGTGTATGTATGTATACACTTTATGCATGCATATGTATAATTTTTTTAAAAAATCTCCTATAACCCGAACTTTATTCCTGAACTTCATGAAGTTTTCCAAGCAAGAGATCAGGAGTGGTCTGTTATTGCCTTTTTCTAGGCTGTTGTTTTCAACTTACAGCCCTGACTTTTCTTGGTCTCCCATGGCAGCAAAATACATTTTCCCTTTTGCCTATCCTGGAGTGTCCTCCATCCTTCCTCACCTGTTGGGCCCACTTCTCCGTCTCCTGCTGCTCCTGCAGATACTCCTCTGCCAAGGCGACTGCTCGATCGCACGTCTCTGGGCTGCGCTCCCTAATCCAGTCCTGCATTTCCTGTGGAAGGATGACAAGGAACTGCTCCAAGATAAGCAGATCCAGGATTTGCTCCTTGCTCTGGCCTTCGGGCTTCAGCCAGCGGTGACAGAGCTCCTGCAGTTGCTGATATGCCATCCGAGGCCCATCGGCAGCCAGGTAGCAGAAATGCCTGAAACGCTGGCGGTGCGCCTCAATGGCGAGGTAGTCATCCAGCCTCAAAATGGCCACCTTCACCTTCCCATAGTCAGCTTTGTCTTTTGCATCCAGGCTGAAATAGACCTGCTGAGCTTGTCCGCTAAGGACTGGCACAAGACGAGTCACCCACTCTTCCCGTGGCCATTGGGAAGCATCTGCCACACGCTCAAAAGTGGCCAAGTAGGCCTCAGTGCTGCCCCCTTGAATCAAAGGAGGCAGCTGCAGGCTGTCCCAGACAGGAGTGGTGAAGGGAGCAGGCACCACCTCTAGCACTCTTTGCCACTGACATTCCCAACTTTGCGGTGGCTCTTCTGCCAGTTCCTGCTTCACCCTGGATGCCGCTCTTGTGAAATCTTCACTGGTTTCAGATGGAATGGTGGCAAGGCCTTTTCCCTCTCCCTCTTTTGCACTGTCATCTGCTTGGCAGGGAATTTCCATTTTCACTGGGACCTGCAAGGGACATTTCATGTCCTCTATCTCTTTTGAAAGAGCAGCCATGTTGTTTGGGTGTTGCTGTGCAGCCATTTTGTGGCCCAAGGAGCTGCCAACGGACCAGCTGGGTCTCTGCTGCAGCCTCTCTCAAAGCGCTCTGGGGCCAGACTTCGGCAGGGGCTAGTGAAATCTGTAACAAGGCAGTCTGGGCATATTCCTGTCAGAAAAAAATGGGAGACTGATAGTTTTTTTTTTTTTCAAAAGTCTTTTAAAGTAACATTATTTTCAGTTTATGCCACCAAATTTTCTTGGTTACTGTTTTGTTTAAAGTTTGCATTATAACTTTGATGTAATGCTTTGCCGTCAACATTCTCTCCATATCTTTTTTTTTAATGCCGCTTGAATGTATTAGGTAAGATTTATTCATAATCACTTCTCAGGTGAAAATTTGCAGCTGCCATCGTTACCATTAAGGCAGTGTTGGTTAGAAAAGACTTGGGGGGGGGGGAATAACCATAAACACTAACAAATTTATACAGCCTTTTAATTAGTCCCAATGTAATAGCCATTCATCAAAGCTATCAGATACAGTCCCTTAGGTGCTCTGACTACACACATAAATAAAACTGCAGCTAGGTGAAATTTATCTGATTACCTTCTTAGCACAAGCACAAAAATACTAAACCTAGTGAAGAATGAGCTGCAAATGAAAGAGAAAACATATAGTAATATTGTAGATAGGTCTCATACTTTAAAAAATGCAAATAAGGATTTAGGGCACCAAAGATAATGCTGCTGGCTTTCTCTTTGCAGGGATACAGTCTCTTCTGTCGCTTTGTTCTGCTTCCCATTTATTCTTTTTGTCTTTTTTTAAAATCAACAATCCATGAGGTTATCCATAAAGAATGAGGTCAGTTCCCTGCCCCAAAGCTCTTACAATCTAAAAATGAGGAGGGAAAGAACTAGGAAAAGAAACAGTACAAGAAAACAATAAGAAGTTATTTCAAATGTAGATATATGATCTTAGCTATATGAGTTAGGGGAGGAGGGTCTTGTCCCAAAGCTTTTGGAAGAGCAGAAGAAAGATAAGTATTCTGGGATGCAGATCCTGTCACAAGGCAGAAAAGGTGAAAACATCTGAAATAACACAAGACAGGCACATCTTGAGAGAAAGGGAAGGAATACTGACAATCGAAGATTACACTATTTAATTATAATTATAATAATAATAAACTGCCACACCCTCTTTTCCATGCAAAAATGAAAGAAAAAAATGCAACATGATTTTTAGGGCCACGAAATACACAAGGAAAGCAGAAAACAAAATAAACTGGAGGCTCGTGAAGGTTATATCACGACCATTGCCAGCTACCATTAGCCCCGGGCTGGCTAACGAAGTGGGCCGAGATCACCGTCCCGAGTCTTCCTCCGATACAGACACGATCCTTTTAGCAAGACAGTTTTGGGAGGAGAGGGGTTAAATAGGGAAACCCCCCCTCCCAAAGTGTCAGTGGAAAGACCCTGCTGGCTCACCTTTCGCTTTCATGCAGTCTACCTCGCGCTTCCCTCTCGCCTCCGAATGCAGCGGAAGAGCGGACTGCACCACTTCAGGACACGAATGGGGAAGCGCACACTTTTCAACGCTCGCGCTGCCAAAACAGCTTGCCAGTCTCCCTGCAAGCAGAAGACTAACCCAACAAGGAGAGAAAGCGAGGTGGAAACCTTTGATTTCCGGCCGTGGCGATGCTCGACTTGCAGGGAACTTTTTTGGGTTGGTTTTCAAAGCAAAAGCAAGCCAGCATCTTCCACCTGCAGACTTGCACTGTATAGCATGGTTCTTCCCCCCCCTCCCCAAACCCGCCTAAAACTAGCGCAAATCAACCTAGGAAGACCCGAATCTTTCGTGCACGCCCTTTCAAGGGTTGGAAAGACACGCGTGCATTTATCAGGGCAAGCCACAAAGCAACTTCTGGTGGGCCCGCTCGGCCCCCCAAAAGGTGACCCTCCCGCGATCCAAAAAAGCCTTCCGATCCCAAGAACCACGTGGCTGGTGGAGGGAGGCAAAGCGAGGCATCTTCCTAGTTTCTCCAGCCCGCTTCACCTCTGGCTTTCGTCCCTTTCTCCTTGCCCGGGACTCACCGCTATGCGACTCTTCTCGAGGAAATAAAGGGGATCAAATCGAAGGCCACGTTCCATTTCTTTCCATCTTTGGACGGAACGGGAAAGCGTGGTCGCATCTTATATCCCCTCCCTTTGGATGGCGCTCGCTGAGCCACTCTAGGAGCTTGGCTGTGGCGTTTATTTTTTTTAACCCTTTCGTGATGGCGATAGACTGCACTATAAAGCTGTTTTTTTCAACCTTGACCGCATAAAAATGTGTGAACTTACTTTCAGCTGGCTGGGGAATTCTGGGAGTTGAAGTTCACACGTATTAATACGGCCAAGTTTGAAAAACTCTTGATATGAACCTTCACGAAGTGTGTGGCCAAAGTAACCAAGGTGTTCATGACTCAGTAACTTAATGATTTAAGAAACTTAGGACAGCACAAGTGAAATGGTCTCTGGCTGATGCCTTCGGATTCAGCTGTACTGTAACACTCAACCTGAAGGAGTTCTATGGCTATTTGGGGATGGTGGGGGAGAGTTCTTAAAAATACATATTAAATATTACCATTGAATATTAGGAATGAATGCAAACTAAAAAGTAAAAAGAATGGAAAGAAAAATAGAAAAGAAAGAAAAATAATAAAAGAAAAATAAGTAAAGAAATGATTTCTTCCTTCATAACAAGTATATGCATTTTAGTAACTTATCACCTTCTCTTAAAATACAACAAATTATAACTTCTTCCCATATCATTTGTAAGCAAATGTAAAGGTGGCCATTTGATCCCAGTTAGTAAAAGTCCAGTAAAGGTAACCAGAGATAACATTCTAATTTAACCTTGATCAAATAAACCAACTTTATATTCCTTTTACTTCTAACAGTCTTGATCTTTAATCCCTTCAGGTACTGGATTTCTTTTCATTTTTTCTTTCTCCCTCTCATAAAATCTTTCAAATTTTTAACAAGACTTTTTCTAAAAAATCCAGTATAGGAAAGTTATCCAGGTCACTTTTTGGTTTATTTATTATTTATATATCATTTCTAATATTAAAACCTCAGCTGGTATTCATTATATATGCAGTAGTTCACCTTTCAAATCTATTTCAGAGTTGTCCAATAAAACATGTGCCTCTTCTATAATATCTTTTAAACATAGGCTATCTATAATAGCAGAAATATTTTTTAAAAAAACTTACGGGTCCATTGCCCATGCTGACTGGAGAATTTTGGGAACTGAAATCCACATAACTTAAAGTAGCCACGGTTAAAAAACACTGACCCAAAATGTACTTGGCTCCACCATTGTATATGGCTGTTTGGGGAGAGTTTTATCAGTCTTATAAAAAACAGTTCCAGAGTTGTGAAGGCAAAATATAGAATAGTGGATATCAAAATATCAGAAGCAGATTCCAATCAAATGTTAACACTGTTTAGCTGGAAAATGTTATTTACATCACTGATTCCAGATTCACACTCAGGGCAGGAATCTGGTTTAAAGCCTTGCCTCATTGCTAGTTTCTGTCCTCCATTTGAATAGACCCAACTGGTTCATACTGTAAGGAAAAACTGTGATAGTGGAATTAATATTCTAGAGCAGTGGTTCTCAATCTTTCTAATGCCGCGACCCCATAATACAGTTCCCCATGTTGTGGTGACCCCAACCACTTATACATCACCGGGTGCCAGGGTCGTGGCCAAAGAAAAGGGGAAAAAAATGGCGGACAGCCTTGTTTGGCGACCCCCGTGAAATGGTCGTTCGACCCCAAATGGGGTCCCGACCCACAGGTTGAGAACCACTGTTCTAGAGGCAGTACAGCCTCTAGATTTTTTTTTTATGTGAATTCTTGCACTGAGCAGAGATTTGATCTTGGTAGCTTAAGAGGCTTTAAGAGGCCCTTTGCAGTTTCTAATTGTATGAAATACTGAATGCACTCTTTGGCATATGTTCTTTCATCACATGAAGAAACATTCATTGTGTTTGGACAAGTTCCAGGCAAGTTCAATCAGTCAATTTCAACTTCTCGTGGGCAAAAAAAAAAGATCTTGCAAAGTTGGAATTGATTGAACTTTTTAGTCCCACCCAGTCTGCCATTACCACCGTAGCCACGCCCACCCAATGGGCCACACCCACCCAATGAGCCACACCCACCCGGCATCCGACGATGCATAAGTGGGTTTTGGGTTGCAGTTTGGGCACTCAGTCTCTAAAAGGTTCGCCATCACTGGTATAGGGCTTCCTGCCTGAGCAGAGAATTGGACTAGAAGACCTCCAAGGTCCCTTCCAATTCTGTTATTCTGTTCCAGATTTTGTGTGTCCTTAGTCTAGACCAGTGATGGCGAACCTTTTAGAGATTGAGTGCCCAAACTGCAACCCAAAACCCTCTTATGGATCGTCGAGTGCTAGGTGGGTGTGGCCCATTGGCTGGGTGTGGCCAGTTGGGTGGGCGTGGCCCATTGGGTGGGCATGGCTCCGGTGGTAACGGCAGACTGGGTGGGACTAAAAAGTTCAGTCAATCAATTCCAACTTTGCAAGACCTTTTTTTTTCCCGCGAGAAGTTGAAATTGACTGATTGAACCTTTTTTTTTCTTTTGCACATGGCGGCAGAGACCTAAAGTGAAAAGGTTTTATAAAACCCAGCTGAAGGCCTAGGACTGGGGCGATGGCATGTGTGCCCACAGAGAGGGCTCTGAGTGCCCACTGGTCTAGACAGCTAGGTTGAGTAAACTCAGTCAGTTCATATCCCATATAGAATCATACAGTAGTGATTTGTTCAGTACATGTAGTCCTCAACTTACAACAGTTTATTTAGTGACCATTTGAAGGTACAACTAAAAATGACTTATGACCGTTTTTCACACTTAATAACCATTGTGGCATCCCCAGGGTCGTGATCAAAATTCAGGTGCTCAGCAACTAATTCATATTTATGACAGTTACAGTGTCCCAGGATCATTTTACAACATTTTGACAAGCAAAATCAATGGAGAAGCCAGATTCACTTCACAACTGTGTTACTAACTTTAGAACTGTAATGATTCACTTAACAACAGTGACAAGAAAGGTTGTTAAATGGGGCAAAATTCACTTAACAACTGTGTCACTTAGCAATAGGAATTTTGGGCTCAATTGTTGAGAACTACCTGTATATTGTTTTAGTTTAGGATTAAATTATATAGTCAGAGTTGGATAAGACAGACTTCTGCTAAACATGCAGAGAAATTTTATGCATACATTTTATATAAATCATTATTAAGACTTCCTTTTGAAATACGTTTAATATTCCAGCCAAGGTTTAAACGTAATAATTGTCAATAACAGTTGTAAATGAAACAAGGATAACAGAATCTATTTAATGTACCGAATAGTTTATTTTAGCATTATTCTTGACACCTAGGGCATTACAGTTCATTTTATTCATTACTTTTCCAGACTCCGTGTATTTCATGATGGGTTGAGCATAACTTAAAATAAGGGATTTTATATCTGTGAAATAAATTAATAAGTTCTGCAAGGAACAAGACATATTAAAGCCACAGTCTGTTCAATGGAGGGGGATTTGATTGCCCATCTCCGGTTCGAGTCCACAAGAGAAGAGAGGAATTTCTATGGTGTACCATGCAATGGAAGATATCCTCCCAAGGACACATTTAAAAAATAAATATTTATTTGACCATAAAAAAACAGCCAAGCTGTTAGTTTTAATCTTTAAATTTAATTAGTATTTGGACTATATATATATTTTAAATAACATTGTCTCTGGCTGGCTGGCTGGAAAATTCTGAAAGTTGACGTCTACGTGTCTTGAACTTGTCAAGGTTGGGAAGTCCTGTTGTAGAAGATGCCCTGCAATTCCAGAGGTAGGAAAAATTAAAAATGTGCTGGCTTTACAAAACCCTTAACAGGTATCAAAAGTATCTTGGCTCTGTCTTCAGGTAGCTCTTCTTGGACTCCATGAGCCTATCTCATTTCTTTTTCTCATTTGCTCAAACTCAGGAACAGCTACTGAATATTACTGGTTGCAAACACAATGCACTTTCCTTACATCTTACAAGAAGCTTTTTCTTGCCGTTTTTGTGATAATGACTAAGGGAGCAACAATGCCTTAAGTTTTCCACCTGTTGTCTGTTTCCATATACAGTGTTAATCCCTGGAGATAATGGCAGCAAAAAAGGCTAGTCAAATATTTAGGAATGAGAAATATTTGTTTTAAAGGAAAAAATGGTAACGAAAGAGAACGTTGTGAAAATATTTGGGTTTTTTTAAAAAACTGTATACCATACCTGGACTATTTTTTTTTTCAGATGTTCCTCTGAATGTGATAATGAAGCCTAGCAATTTACAGCAGATCAATTGCAAGGGAGGCCTGCAGCCTTAGCAAGTCTTTCATCCCTTCCTATGTTTTCTGTTACTATTTCTCTGC